AGCACCTATAGATTCCACCTTTCAGCCCATGTCATCTCCTAGGCCAACAGCTCATAACCCATCCGTGAGTCAGAGGAGTTGGTCTCCACAGCCTGTGTTAAAGCATGTCAATAGCACAAGGGGTGAGCCACCTTCCAGCCTGTTGTCCCCACAGCCCACGCTCAAATCCAGCTCATCGAGGCTTCAGATGTTTGGCTCAAACCCCCAAGGCACCACCCCAGCTAGGCTGCCTGGGAGCTTAGTCCCTCCAGGGCTCCATAATCCTGCCCCTGGGGAGCTGAAAGCACCCCCTTCACCTCACCCATCCCTGAGGCAGTTTGGGTCTCCTCCTGAGGCAAGGTCCCCATGCTTTTCAGCCAGGGGTGCTGGGAGCAGACGGCCATCTTCCCCTCAGCTATCAAGAAGACTGAGTTGCTCGCCCGTGGAAATGCACAGGTGGCTACCCCAGGCTTGGAACAGGCAGCCCGAGCCCCCAACTAAAGCAGTGAAGCCTTTAATGAGGAACTCGTTTCTGAAGCAGTTGGGCCGTCCAGCGGGAGTTCAGTCTCCCATCCCACCATCCCCAGTGCCATCCATCAGAGGTGGGCCGCCTCCCCAGGGATTGGCGAGAACACCCTCCCCTCAGATGCTGACACACCAAGGAAGCCATCGTGTTACCATCAAAGACTCTCCTAACTTTCTACCTGGCAGGTCCTCATTCCCTGTGGATGCTAATGGGCCGGGAGGGCAGCTGCCTGCACGGCTGCATTTGGACGGGGCTTCTGGGAACGAAATGCCAGGTCAGCGAACTCCGTCACCCAAGATGGCGGGAGGCGGAAGCGTGAGGAGCATTTCAAAGCTGTCTCCACCTCCCAGCCCTGCTCCTGGGATCCCTAAGGCGTTTATCAAACGCATCGGTCAGCCTCTGGCTGGGATGACCCAGACCCCTTCCGCCAGGAGGCCTTCTCCTGCAGAAACCAGCAGCATGCTTGCGGACAAAGCAGGAGGTGGGAATGCATTCCTGAAACGGTTTGGACAGCCGGTGGCAGGTCAGATATCAGGACCCACGGCTCTCAAATTCTCAGTGAGAGAGGGCGGACATGTAGCCCAGGGACAATGCCCACCATCACCGACAGATCCTAGACACCCCCTTGGTAGGAGCCCTTCTCAGAAGCTGGCCTCCCCCGCTCCATCCCTAAAACATGCTACGATGCCAATGGGAGAAGTAAATAGGTCACGGTCACCTACCCCAAACTGGGGGCATAAGGTTCCGGGTGGGAACTTGTCTTATCCTGCCACCTGCAGCCCCCACGCTGTGCTGAAAGGCAACGCAAATCCGGGCCCTCAATCACAAAGAACTGTGGCCTTCAAAGGCCCCCATTCTGTGACGGGAGCTGGCCCCTCCTTTGCCGGGTCCCCATCCTTGCAGGAAGCATGTAGCAGACCAGCAAAACTCCCCGCTGAGTTCTTTGAGAACGAGGACATCTCAGGAGAGGACAGTGCAGGGAGGTACGCCGTCGTCATGCCGCAGGTCCAGAGGCTGGGCTCCTTCAGAAGCAAGCACTGGTCTAAGCAGCAGATAGTGAACGTCCGTGCGTCACCCAGCGGGTGGTCTTCTGAGAAACTGCTTCATAATCCTCCCACTGCGAGCCTGAACAGGTGCTCGGGCCGGCGAGGAGACAGCACTGCTGAGTACCTGACCCACAGATCCTCAGTGCAGAACCAGGGCGATGGGAGCCACTGGGAGCATGGGAACATGGGCAAGAAACTGCCCTGGCACCACCAGGTAATTCCAGGGATTTGGGCCATTTAGAGCAGACTCCAGACCTGGGGCCAGTTTACATTGTGGTAAACCCACAGGGGTTAATCTGAATGGAGGACCGGATCCAAAGATCCGGATCCGAATGATGTCGGGGGCGTTGCATCAGGCCCTTACCCTGAAGAGTGAGCAACATTTGGCCCCTGGGGTAAGCAGGTACAGCTTTCTTAAAACTCTGGGCCAAATCTGCAGTGAGGTGGGGGGTGTTGGAGAAACAAATTGGCCTAGTGTTATGGAAAACACCCGGGTTTGAAGGGTTAAAACCAGACCTCGCCTATTAGTAGAGTTAATAGTGTAGCCCGTGGTTGTGCCCCTTCCCCACCCTCCTCACAGCACAGAATGAGCATCAGGTGCTTCCAGCCAGCCAGCCGGCAGAACCCAGGAGTCCTGACTGCCAGCCGCCTGCTTTAACCACTAGAGCTGGCTCCCTTCTCTTGCACAAGGACTGGCCTCAGATGTGAAAATAAAAAAATGTTTTCTCCTCCATGCCAGCCGGTCCTGGCTCTGATGCTCCTCTCGCTTGCTCTGGGGTAAGGATGCCCAGTGGTGTCAGCACGATGAGACTCACGCTGTTACATTCAGATCATACCAGTGGGAGCGTGGCTCTACCCACATGGCAGTTCTGAGCAGGAGAGAAGCTAAGGTGGCCAGCCTGTGTGCTCCCATGCAAACATCCCCTGCTTGGACTGACTTACCCACTGACAGCCAACACCCCCCCCACCCCAGGGGAGACCACAGCTGGTGCCCCGAAGTTGGCTTTGGCTGGTTAAAAAACCTGGCCTGTTTGAAAGAGGTTCCCAAACAGTGGGATGCAGGAACCAGGTTGTGCCAGCTTAGGGAACTGGCACGTATGCTGGAAAGGGGAAACCAGCCCAGGCCAGACTGAGGTTTAATAAAGGCACCGAGCTATCCCTGGGCCCTGTCATTGTAAAGCTATGAGCCCCCCTTCTCCCTCCCCCGGACTGGCACCGCAGCCAGGGTGACAGCTGTTACTTTTGGAGCTGTTTGACCTCTGTCATAGCAATGGAACAAAAGAGGTATATGTAAATGCAGAGACTTGATCTGTGGCAGGTAGCTGCATTAGAACAGAAGGAGCGTTTTAATTAGACAGGCCTCTCTTGGCACGCGCTGGCCGACAGAGCTCAACTGAGACCTACCCCAGTACATGACTGGCTTACCCTGGATGACGATTTGCTTACCTGCTTGCTGCCTACCCTGGCCTGAGCCCGCGAGGGGCTGGATGCTCTCCAGGTTAGGAGCTACAGTGATGATTGAAAAGCTCCAGGGTTTATTGTCTGCTCTTCCAAGCTGGTGACTCTTAGTTACCTGGGTTTTTTGTGAAGTAACAGACGCTCTGTGGCTCTTCTGTGCCTTCAGCTGACGCGGCGCGAGGCATTTAAAATCATGTTAGATGAAGCACAGGGAACGAGGTGATAGGGACCAATCCTGCCCTGGCTGGGGGGAGGTGAACCGGGGACGCAGTGGGTATCTCCCACCTCTGAATGTCGCCCGGGGATTGTAGCAGTCCCTCAGCTACCCTTTGCATTGTTCTTGAAAGCTAAATAGGTGCCAGTGTGACAATATAGGGGCTTGTGTATGTTGCCCAGCAGTTCAGAGTGTGCTCTGTAGTGGAACGTGGAGGGACAATACACTGGGGGAGCTGCTTTAGCACACTGAGGGACAGTGTGGTCTAGTGAGAAGGGCACTGCATGGATTCCCCATCCACATTGTCTGTTTAGATTGTGATCCTTTTATGTCAGAGACTGTTTCAAGCCCTGCTCTCGTCTCAGACCTATAGGTGCTACTGTAATGCAAATAATTAATGGTCATTTTCATTTTCTCTCTCTGTCTACATGGGAGCACTCAGGAAAATAAATTCACACCTTGTGTTAATTCGGATTAAAAGTGGATTAGTCAAAGCACATTGAACCCATGCATGGAGACTCTCATTCAGAATTAAAGTGGCCTTAATTTGGTTTAGCTTAATTCACAAGAGTGTCCACAAAGGGACTAATTGTGGTTTAATGAATTTGCTTTAAAAATTCATTTGAATTAGCTTTCCTGAATGTCCCCATGTAGACAAGTCCTCAGTCTCATATTCTGTGTGTGCGTGCAAGGGGGTGAAGCTTGTAGAATAAATGAATCTTTGGGAGGGGGGTTGGTGGGCTGGTCCCACATAGGGCCCAGCATGAAAGCCTGGGTGAAGAGGGGAAAGACAAGGCTGGTATCATCAGTGGAACCAAAGGGAGGGGCAGGGAATGTGGTTAGAGATGCAGACCAGGGCAGAGCTGTGCAGCGTTTGGAAAGCAAGGCTGAGAGGTGTGAGCTGGACGTGGTAAGTGAGGGGGAGCCAGGGGAGTGATGCAGAGGGGAGCGGCATGGTCTGATCTCCAGACATCTCTCTGCTGAAGCCCCCGCCTCTAGACAGCCTCCTGCCCGAAGGGGTCGCTCCATAGCAGCTGTACCCCTGAACTGGGCCTGTTCTGTTCTCCTTTATTGGAAAGCCACGTCCATCGGGCAGCTGATTTTAGTCAGTGCCTCCATAGTTACACTGGAACCCCCTGGTTAGTGTGTGATGCATGCCCCAGTTTGCAGAGATATGGCCCCGTGGCAGGCCCTGGCTCCAAGGGCTGGCTCTTTAGCTCAAGCTGTAGCTGCTCATGCTTTTTAGCTCTGGAGGTGCCTGGTTCAATTCCAGTCATGCTGGCCAAAATGGTGGCCATCACACACCCACACCCCAAAAGGGGTGAGGCGATAGGAACTGCTCCAGGGCCTGGTGTCCCAACCCCCACACGGTCATGGCCTTATCGGTGGCTGTACCAGGTGATGCCACCTGGTGGCTGCTGCAATGAAGGGACTTGGCAGCAAAGGATCGGGGTCAAACCACCCCCTTTGCAAAGTCCCTTCTGTAACCACCGGCTCCATTTGCACAAGCCTCGTTGCTCCCTAGGGTTTCCTCTTCCTGATGAGAGAGGGTTGAGCCAGCAGCAGTCACTATAGAGCAGTGGGGATCTTGTCCCCAGCACTGGCAGACGGACACGCCAGTTGAATCAGTTTGGGAGCCATAGTTTGGCTTGGGGTCCGACCCCGACTCTCTGTCTCAGGAGGCCCCTGAGCTGGCCGGAGTAGTTCTCTGAGTAACGCTGCCCAGCTGCACCCTGCAATAACTGCCTGATCTGCATGTCTTAATTCCTGAGTGTAGATGCACTCCATCCACAACCTGCCGTGCAGGAGCCCCCGAGAAGAGCCGAAGGCAGATGGCATGGAGGACATGACCCAGCTGCAGTAAGTAACTGACTGGCATGCTCTGGTTGATCTAAAAGGAAAGCTAATCACCATGGGCTGGCTGGTGTCACTCAGCAGAGCACCATTGTGGGCTAGGGGCCTGGGAATCAGAAATCTGGGGTATAGGCCCAGCTCTGCCACTGACCTGCTGTGTGACCTTGGGTGAGTCCCATCATCTCGGTGTCCCATCCTACCCTCTGTCTTAGCTGTTTGGGGCAGGGGCCATGTCTCACCTTGGTTATGTAGAGCGACTAGCACAATGTGCTCCCCAGGCCCTAGCATGGACCATGCCCACTGCTGTGAACAGCTCCTGCAGGTGCCCTCCTCCGACCCACTTTAAGATCTCACCAGCCTCGGCAATGGATTCCCGTAGTCTGACTCCAGCCTCGCTTTTTGGAGCTTTGACTGCGTGTGCCTGGGACGGGTGCCTTTGCTTTGCACGTTGGTGGCACTGAGCTGGCTGGGATTTCATTTGTGGAGACGACAGGAGTGGATCTGTCGGCCATCAGCCTCATCCTCTTTATGAAAGTGCTATGCCTTGATCCCTGTTCTGTGCTGTGTGTTCCAGGGACCTCCAGGAAGGGGCAGTGCTGCACAACATCAAGACGAGGTTTGACCGCGAGTTAATCTACGTAAGTTCCTGGCAGCTGAAGTTGCACTCAGAGCTCATGGCAGGCCTCAGGGTCTCCTCGGCATTACCAGTGGAGGGTCCGGCCTGACACTGATATGCAGAGTGTGCAGAGTGTGTGTCTGGTGGGTCACTCACGGCACAGCGTGTCAGGACGCCTGGGTTCTAGTCTGCTTCAACCGCATCTCGCTTTGTGATTTTTGAGCAAGTGATAAACCAATCTGTGCCACTGTTTCCCAGAGATGGACCTTCCCCCACTTTTGTAAAGTGCTTTGAGATCCTTTGGTCAATGGCATTAGGTATTACTGTCACTCAGCTTAGATACCTGCTGCTCATCTTCTGCCGAGCAGCGTAAAAACATAAGCAGCTCTTCCTCTGTGTGTCTCTTGTTGTTGCAGACCTATATAGGCAGCATCTTAGTGTCCGTGAACCCCTACAAAATGTACAACATCTATGGGACGGAACAGGTGCTGCAGTATGAAGGAAGGGCGCTGGGAGAAAATCCCCCGTAAGTACCTCCCCCGCACGGAGCGCAGTGTGCTGTCTGTCTCCTCCTGGCATGTTACAGTCCCCTTCCGGCTGGTGTCTTAGCTGCACAGCCCGGCTGCTCGGGGTCCTTGCGCTCTCCTTGAGCTCAGATTGTCATGGCCGGGGACCTGAGCCTGCAGAGCTTACTCCAGGGAGTAATCCTCTCTCACCCCAGTAGCCCCACTGCAATCCACCACCACTTGGGGCAGGGCTGAGCAGCTTAGGGGAGGAGCTGCAGAGGGTGCTCAGGCCCAGACGGTCAGTCTGATGATAAAGCAGCTGTCTTCTCTCTCAAGTGGAGATCCCAGCGCAGGTAACAGATCTTCCCTGCCCATGGATAGCAAGCCTGAGGTTCGATCCTGCTGGGTGTCTTCAGACTTCCTTTGTGCCCGTGGGTGACCTAAGGCAAGGGAGCTGGCACAGCTCAGAGCAAAAGAAGCCTCGCCCGGCTACCAGCCAGGGTGTTCGGCTGGTGGGAACTCCTCCTCTGCAGGGACTGTTTTACCCTTAACGCTCTGTGCATCTGGCTCTTTTGCAGACACCTTTTTGCTATTGCAAACATCGCCTATACCAAAATGATGGATGCCAAACACAACCAGTGTATTATCATCAGGTGAGAGCTTGTGGCCTGGCTGCGGAAAGGGAGCTCCCCTTTTGTTCCAAGAGGTGGCCCCTCTAGCTCCGGGTTGAGCCCGCTCGTGGCAACTTGCCCAGTCACTGCCCATGCCACACCTGGCCTGCAGGTAGATCTGAGACGTCCTTCTGCAGGGCTGTGAAGCTGGCATCTTTATCATCATCGTCCTGGCAAATTCCAAAGGGATGTACATTGAGCGCTTCCCGGATCGATCTCTAGCTGGCATCTTTAACCAGCACCACAGTAGTACAATCAATATAATGGTAAAAACCACCAAGCCTGGTCCAGCCCCTGCTGAAGCCAGTCGGAATTTGGCCGTTGATTTCAAAGGGAGCAGGGCCGAGCACAGCACCCACAGCACGTGTAGCTGCCGCTCGGTTCGGTAACCTCTCGGCTGGCTTCGGGTGATTGCGCCCTCAGCGACCCGCCTTACGTTCGCGTCTTCTCTTTCTAGTGGCGAAAGTGGTTCAGGCAAAACGGAAGCCACCAAGCTGGTCCTGCGTTACCTGGCAGCGGTCAATCAGAAACGCAATGTGATGCAGCAGGTACGGTCGCCTTTCCAGACGCCACAAGTTATGGTGCCGCTTGCTCCTGGAGGGCTGCAGCTGCCGTGTGTGCTGCCATGAGCCACCAATGTGCCCTGAGAGCCGGTAGAATGGCGGGAGGTACCGGAGGTGAGTGGCAGCCTGGCAGGTGCATTTGACCAGGATGTACTGGCCTGCTCCGCTGCACGGCAGGTGCGTCCTCTCAGATGTCTCAGCCTGGCTGGCAGCTTGGCAAATGTGTCCCCATGGACAGAATCAGCACATTTTGCAACCCAGCAGGTGCAAGCATTCCCTCAGGAGGTACCTGGTGCATTCAGCATGAGTCAGTTAAAACTGAAGGCTGTTTGGAGCCTCTTCCCATGATGGCTTTCAGGGCCTTATTCCCTGGAGCCATTCGCAGGCACTCATTTTTCCTTGGGACGTCTCTCGGCTCCCTCCAAAACCCTCCCTGCCTTGCTCTCCATGGCTAAACTCAGGGATCTCTTGGGACACCAAGCTGTGCTTCTCCTGTCGGAGTAGGGGCCTTCCTCCCCAAATCGCAGCACAGAAGTTCATTCTGCCTGGCAAAGAGAGCATCAGACGGACCCTGTGTGAAAGCCAGAGAAGGGTCTGCCTTCTAGGAAGCCTCATACAGCCCCTCTGCAGCAGCAGGAAGGGCAGATGTCGGTCCCATTCTAGGGAGGTAGGTCCCCTTCCCCAGAGGAATCCTGGGTAAACGTACAGTTCTTTGCAGTAGAGTGTGGCTTATTATCCTCTTCTCACGGCCGGTGTGTTGGTGACCCTGACCTGTTGTTGTTCCTATGCGTCCCTGCTGCACTACCATAGATAGAGGTACAGGGTGTGTGTGTGGGATGCAAAATTTCCACTTACCTAACAGACTGATGCCGAAGTGGCCTGCTGTGTTATCTCTGCTGAGGCTAAATCCTGCGGCTCAGAACTCCCCTAGGAGTCACTGGGGTTTTTTTGCCTGCAGCCTTTAGCCCTGTGTGTGTGTGCATGGTTTTGCAGTGACTATCTTTCCCTTCGCTCTCCTACTCTCCTTCTCCCCTCCTGCCCTCCTTCAGCCATCAGCAAGGGGGGAGTTACAGCTCCCCTGGCACTCAGCAGACAGGCTAGAAAACCTAAGAAAACCCTCTCGCATTAAAACCATCCCTTGCCCCCAGCCTCGTGTGGGAGCTGTTGCAGGGCAGACAATGACTGTTGCATTTGTGGGCAGGTCACTGTATTCCACTCCTTAAACAGAAAAGGAACTAAAGGAAGCCAAACCCTGGTCTCTCTTCATTGTTCAGCCAAATGTTTAATTCGGAAGCACTATTTTCCTAAGAAGAAAAGGAGTACTTGTGGCACCTTAGAGACTAACCAATTTATTTGAGCATGAGCTTTCGTGAGCTACAGCTCACTTCATCAGATGTTTACCGTGGAAACTGCAGCAGACTTTATATACACACAGAGAATATGAAACAATACCTCCTCCCACCCCACTGTCCTGCTGGTAATAGCTTATCTAAAGTGATCAACAGGTGGGCCATTTCCAGCACAAATCCAAGTTTTCTCACCCTCCACCCCCCCACACAAATTCACTCTCCTGCTGGTGCTAGCCCATCCAAAGTGACAACTCTTTACATAATCAAGTCGGTCTATTTCCTGCATAGATCAAGGTTTTCTCACATCCCCCCTTATCCTTATCCTTGCAACAAAGCCCGTTGCCAATTGTGCCCACATATCTATTCAGGGGACACCATCACAGGGCCTAATAACATCAGCCACACTATCAGAGGCTCGTTCACCTGCACATCCACCAATGTGATATATGCCATCATGTGCCAGCAATGCCCCTCTGCCATGTACATTGGTCAAACTGGACAGTCTCTACGTAAAAGAATAAATGGACACAAATCAGATGTCAAGAATTATAACATTCATAAACCAGTCGGAGAACACTTCAATCTCTCTGGTCACGCAATCACAGACATGAAGGTCGCTATCTTAAAACAAAAAAACTTCAAATCCAGACTCCAGCGAGAAACTGCTGAATTGGAATTCATTTGCAAATTGGATACTATTAATTTAGGCTTAAATAGAGACTGGGAGTGGCTAAGTCATTATGCAAGGTAGCCTGTTTCCTCTTGTTTTTTCCTACCCCCCCCCCCCCCAGATGTTCTGGTTTAACTTGGATTTAAACCTGAAGAGTGGTCAGTTTAGATGAGCTATTACCAGCAGGAGAGTGAGTTTGTGTGTGTATGGGGGTGGGGGGGATGTGAGAAAACCTTGATCTATGCAGGAAATAGCCCGACTTGATTATGTAAAGAGTTGTCACTTTGGATGGGCTAGCACCAGCAGGAGAGTGAATTTGTGTGGGGGGGTGGAGGGTGAGAAAACTTGGATTTGTGCTGGAAATGGCCCACCTGTTGATCACTTTAGATAAGCTATTACCAGCAGGACAGTGGGGTGGGAGGAGGTATTGTTTCATATTCTCTGTGTGTATATAAAGTCTGCTGCAGTTTCCACGGTAAACATCTGATGAAGTGAGCTGTAGCTCACGAAAGCTCATGCTCAAATAAATTGGTTAGTCTCTAAGGTGCCACAAGTACTCCTTTTCTTTTTGCGAATACAGACTAACACGGCTGTTCCTCTGAAACCTATTTTCCTAAGACCACTTCTGGAGGAGAACAGAGATTTTGCTGTATTCGCCAGTTCTCAGGCCCTGAATGCCAGGGATGGCTCGTGTCAGTCACAACTACCGATGGTGAAAAACATTTCCGAGCAGTGCTGGGTCCACCAATGGGCCAGAGGTGCCAATGCCCAAGGCATCATTTTTCTTTTTTAAAAAATATAATTATTAATTTAAAATTATTCCCATGGCATCTAAGAGCCCCATTGTGCCTGGTGCTGTAAACAACAAAAAGATTTGTTGGGGAAAAGTCAACATGGTTTTTGTAAAGGGAAATCACGCCTCACCAATCTACTAGAATTCTTTGAGGGGGTCCAGTGGGTATAGTTTACTTAAGTTTTCAGAAAGCCTTTGACAAGGTCCCTCACCAAAGACTCTTAAGCAAAATAAGCTGTCATGGGATGAGAATGAAGGTCTTCTCATAGATTGGTAACTGGTTAAAAGATAGGAAACAAAGGATAGGAATAAATGGTCAGTTTTCAGAATGGAGAGAGGTAAATAGTGGTGTCTCCCAAGGGTCTGTACTGGGACCAGTCCTATTCAACATATTCATAAATGATCTGGAAAAAGGGGTAAACAGTGAGGTGGCAAAATTTGCAGATGATACAAAACTACTCAAGATAGTTAAGTCCCAAGCAGACTGCAAAGAGGTACAAAAGGATCTCACAAAACTGGGTGACTGGGCAACAAAATGGCAGATGAAATTTAATGTTGATAAATGCAAAGTAATGCACATTGGAAAACACAATCCCAACTATCCATATAAAATGATGGGGTCTAAATTATCTGTTACCACTCAAGAAAGAGCTCTTGGAGTCATTGTGATAGTTCTCTGAAAACATCCACTCAATGTGCAGCGGTTCAAAAAAGTGAACAGAGTGTTAGGAACCATTAGGAAAGGGATAGATAATAAGACAGAAAATATCATATTGCCTCTATGTAAACCCATGGTACGCCCACATCTTGAATACTGCGTGCAGATGTGATCTCCTCATCTCAAAAAAGATATATTGGAATTGGAAAAAGTTCAGGGAAGGGCAACAAAAATGATTAGGGGTATGGAACGGCTGCCATATGAGGAGAGATTAATAAGACTGGGACTTTTCAGCTTGGAAAAGAGACAACTAAGGGGGGTTATGAGAGAGGTCTATAAAATCATGACTGGTGTGGAGAAAGGGAAAAAGGAAGTGTTATTAACCCCTTCACATAAAACAAGAACCAGACGGTCACACAAGGAAATAATAGGCATCCAGTTTAAAAAGACAAAAGGAAGTACTTCACACGATGCACATTTGTCAGCTGTGAAACTCATTGCCAGAGGATGCTGTGAAGGCCAAAAGTATAAATGGGTTCAAAAAAGAATTAGATAATCTCATGGAGGATGGTTCCATCAATGGCTATTAGCCAAGATGGTCAGAGACACAACCCCATGCTCTGGGTGTCCCTAAACTTCTGGGAGCTGGGACTGGCCAACAGGAGATGGATCACTCGACCGTTGCCCTGTTCTGTTCATTCCTTCTGGAGCACCTGGCACTGGCCACTGTCGGCAGACAGGATATTGGGCTAGCTGGACCGCTGGTCTGACCCAGTGTGGCCCGTCTTATGTTCTTATACAAAGGATGGGGAAGGCTTTTATTTCCTGTCCCCAAGAGGAGCAGGCTGCAGTTGGAGGCACCATTTTTATCCTTGGCCCAGGGCAGCCAGGAGGGTTAATCCGACGTGTCTAGCAAGCCTTTCGTTTCTGCACTATGCCCATCACTGCAGCATCGTGGCGCCCCTGGTTGGACTGTCTCACCCTGACGGGCTCTTGGTGTTTTTTTGTCTGGCTGGGGCAGATCCTCGAAGCGACCCCCCTGCTGGAATCGTTCGGAAATGCCAAAACAGTGAGGAACGACAACTCCAGCAGGTTTGGGAAATTTGTGGAAATCTTTCTGGAGGAGTAAGTAACGATGAGCGTCTGAGTGTCCCTCTAACACCCCACTCTGTGTGTCTGAAAGTGACCCCCAGCCCGAGGGAATTCCGCCCCATGGTCCTGCCTCTGGGCTGCTGACTTGAGAGGCCAATCCAACCCCTGGGAGGTGTTAGATCCTTGTGCTCCTCAACTGTGATTTAATGGTTCCATGCAAAGCACGGGAACCATTCAGCTCCTCGGGCTGGGTGGTTGGCCATTCCAGCCGCAGGCAACTCTTTGGGAAAGGAGAAAGGAGTCTCCCCTGACAGATTGTATTCTTGTCCCTCTTGCGTGTGGGGAGGGGTTGTTTGATTTTAAGGGTCTGCTTTTAAAAAAATCAGGTGTGTGCCATTGCACACCTAATTTGCACCGCCAGTTGTGTGACTGTGAGCACTGCCTAATAGATGTGTAACCGGCTGCACGCACATCCAATTGCTAGAGCTGCATATGCAGTTGCGGTAACTGTGTGCACAACTCAGGCCTCCGCTTCAAATACCAGGCCCTACAAATATTCCCCCTGTTGAGCTCCCCCAGTCCCAACTGGCATGGCCTTGTAGCGGGGCTGCCATTCCTCCAGTCTCTGGGTACATCTCAGTCTCTCATCCAGATACGTGAATCCGGGGCTGGGGGTGAAGGGCTTCCATGGGGGCTGAGATATAGGACATGGGAGCACCAGCTCCCCAGCAGAAGGCCGGGGCTTCCTCAGTTCATGGCACACACAGAGAAACTAGATAAAAATTTAACTGCTCTTGCTGGAAGGTTGCAACGCAACATGAGTTTATTTCTTAGAATTCAGAACGATAACACACTGTAACCAAAACCAGAGAGTGACAAAGCAGGCTGCTCCCTAAAACAAAGAAGCACAAGTCACCCCACCTTGCTCTTAGGCTGGCTGCCTGCAGATTGCCTGCTGCTCCCAGCCACTTCACAACACAGCCCTCCAGCATGCAAGCAGGACCAGGAACTGCTTTCCCCCTTCCACTCCCCTTCCCACTCTTAAAGTGATAGCTTGCAGTTCCAACCCCGGTCCTCAATACACCACACTCAGCAACTCAAATCCTCCACCCTTCTCGTTGGTCCTCTTGCTTAGCCTGGGAATTGGGCAGCTATCGTGGTTTTCTGACTGCCCATCCATCCACACGGACTTCAGTCATGTTGCTTAATGCACAGCTGGAAGGCACTCAGATACTGTGGTGATGAGGGCAGTGTAAGAACCTTTGCAGAATAGACTAGAGTCCATCTCTCCCCACTGGCAATAAGGAGGAGGTTCTCTTCTAGTTGTCTCTTCTGCATTGGCTTTTAGTGCAGGAGGTTTAATTGCCACCTGTCTGACTCAGTCTGCCAGGCTGCAACAGCCAATCTGTTGTCTCTGATGGCTGCACGTGGTTGGCCCTTTGTTTACCATAGGCGGCAGCAGGCAGGTGGCATTCTCGTGGCTTTCCCCTCGCTCAGCTGTGCTGGGGGTTGCAGCATGGGCACCTGGGTAGCAGGATACCCACAGGGCTGAGCTCTGAGGCAGATTCAGCTCAGATTCAAGGAAAAACAAGGGGCAATGACGAGTCCTTGGACCCAGCGGTACTTCAGGGAAGAGATGGGATGAGATGCTGGGCTGGCAGCCCTCGGGGATGGAGTTGAACCATATTGGAGTAGGCCGTTTCCCACTGAGCAGACAGGCTGGGACCTTGGGCGACATTCACGTTCCTCTGGAGTGCTGAGCAGGAGCCATTGGTTGGCATCGGTTGGGCACCTCCCACACAGCCAGTGTCCTGCGGGCGCAGAGGGCTGGGTGTGGATAGATCCTCGGTCCTTCCTTCACTCTCTTATGTCTGACAAGATGCCGTGCTAAGATTCGCAGCCCCCAGGCGCTAACCTTTGTCTCTCCCAGAGGCTTGATCTGTGGTGCCATAACCTCACAGTACCTTCTTGAGAAATCAAGGATCGTGTTTCAGGTGAGTCCCAGCATTTATTGTGCCACCCCCCACTGCCATCACCATGTCATGATGTTTCCTTAGTCTCGTCCCTCTTGTTTCATAGGCCAACGACGAAAGGAACTATCACATATTCTATGAGATGCTGGCTGGCCTTCCCGCTCAGCAGAAGCAGCAATTCTGCCTTCAAGATGCAGAAACCTACTATTACCTGAACCAGGTATGGGGCCCACGTCCGCCCATGAGCTCAGCAATCAGGCCCACTTAATTTATTATTTCTACTGGTGCAGCACCCAAAAGCCCCAATCAGGATCTGGGACCCATTGTCCAAGGCCCTGTACAAACAGGCAGACGCAGCCCCGCCTCAAACAGCTGACAACCTGCAATTCCATTTCTTTCTGCAGCTGTGACAGCGCCCAGGTCCTTGTGACATTCAGGTTGCTTCGCTCCCCAGATTGGTAAATCCCCAGTCCCCGTAAATTTGCGTCCCCTGTCGTGGCTAAGTCCTAGGCCTCAGATTGCATGTTCCACAGATATGCTCTGATTGGGACCTTTGCAGGGAGGTAACTGCGAGATTCCTGGCAAGAGTGATGCTGAGGATTTCCGGAGGTTGCTCAGCGCCATGGAGATCCTGAACTTCAGCACCGAGGACCAGAACAGCATCTTCCGAATTCTGTCTTCCATCCTCCACCTGGGGAACGTCTACTTTGAAAAATACGAGGTAATCGGCTCCCAGGGGGGAGATGGGAAGGGGACCCAGGGCGCAAAGAGATACTGGTAGCAAGGACTTTAGATGCATGCTGCGAACTAGGGCTTTGATCCCATGTCTGTTGGAGCTAATGCAAAGGCTCTGGTTTGGCTTCCATGGAATCTGGACCAGACCCTAAGCCCCTGTGCAGGGAGGAAGCTCTCAAAAGAAAATTGAACCCAAGATTTTAGCTTCTCTCCGTTTTGTGGAATCTGCATCCAGAAAAAATCCCTGGCCCACAGGGGACCCTGGCACCATGGGGCACCCGAACTACAATGCCCAGGAAGGCCTACAGCAGCTTTGGCAGTTCCACGTCGAACCAGCAGACACAAAACGTTTTGATGTTTCAAATCAACACTTCTCTGAACTTGCCGTTCTGCAAAGCCAATTGAGATTTCAACATTTTGGATCCATCTGGGACAAAAACCAACGTCAGAATATCAGCCTTTCCCACAGGAGGGACGTTCTGATTCTTCCTCCAGCACTACACAATAATGTTGACAATGGGCCAGATCCTCCGCTAGAGTAAATCAGCGTAGCCCAAGTGAAGTCAGTGCTTCTATGAACACCAGGTCAATGGAGCTACACTGATTTACTCCAGCTCAGGATCAGGGCCTATATTCATAATCAGAGATGGACAAGGCCTTCAGTATGAGGTCCCCTAGGTTGTCCCTGGGTACCAGCCGTGCTGGACCCTGGGAAGTTGCCTGCCAACGGGTTGTCTTTGCCTTTCGCAGACAGACTGCCAGGAGGTTGCATCAGTGGTGAGCGCGAGAGAGATCCGTGCAGTAGCCGAGCTGCTCCAGATCTCGCCAGAGGGGCTGCAGAAGGCCATCACGTTCAAAGTGACGGTAAGGCCCGCGGATTCGAGACGGCTGGTTGGACAGGCGGGTGCTGTGGCTAGAGGGACGAATGGGGGAGGTAGACGGCAGTGAAGACAGTCTCTGCTCTGAGACCCTGCTCACTTCATTGCCCCGCAGGGGACCGGTGTATTTTCAGTATCTGATCTGCCAGCTGGGAACCGCTGCTTTGCTTTTCATGTTTGTGGAACATCCCTGTGGAGTCCTCTGCCCCCCTCATCTCTCTCTCCATTTATACAACATCTAGGTGTGTCTTGGCGTCTCCCACCAATGGACAGTGGCCAGACCTTTGTCCCATCCATTTCTGAAGGACTCAAGAGATGCTCCCTGTGGACAACTGTCCCGCCCTCTAATAGGCCTCACTGACTGTGAAGCTTTCTCTGAATTTTCCTTCGCTGGGTTTCATCTCATCCCTCTTCTCCTGCTCTCCATCTGCCCAGTTCAGAATGGAGCAGTGCATGCTGGGGCTTGTAGTCTCCCGTGGGATGCACATCTACATTAAGAGGGGATGGTGGCCCCGTGTTGGCCACACTGTCTTTAAAGGGGATTTCACCTGTTTGTTTGTTTGGTTTTGCCCTTCTCAACAGGAAACGCTGAGGGAGAAGATTTTCACCCCCCTCACTGTAGAAAGTGCCGTTGATGCCAGGTAAAGGGATTCTTTGTTAGGAGATGCCGGGATCTGTCTCTGGCTTGTTAGCATGCCACACATGGGGACTGAGGGATTCAGAATGAGGAAAGGCTGGCAGGCAGTGGCATCTTATCAAAACATGTAATAAACACAGCCAGATGCTGTGGACAGGGTGGCAGGCAAGTCCAGCTGTCCTGCTTTAGGTGGGATTCAGCAGACCAATCTACTTTGTCCCTTCCCTGTCTACTTATACCCCCCCTCCCCCGCCACAGTAGCTGAGCACTTAGCAATCTTTACCTGTCAGGTAGGGCATGGCTATAGTCCCCATTTAATAGATGGGACATGGAGCCACAGAGAGACTAAGTGACTTGCTCAAGGTTGTACAGGGCACCCGTGGCAGAGCAGGGAATTGAACCCAGGTGTCCCAAGTTCAGGCTAGCGCCCTTACCACTAGGTTTTCCTTCCTCTCTATCCATTGTTATCCTTCCTTTCCCTTCCCTGTTGTAAGACATGTCAAAAGTCCTACTTCTTCCCATGCCATCCGACCCCGTGGCTAACCGGTGCAAAGGCAGGAAACCTTCCCCCTTGTGACTGACAAAAACCCGGAGAATGCTGAGACCGTGTTTTCAACGTGTGTCTCAAAACTGAGGGCATTTTGAGGCTCTTTGTTCTGCCCAGGACCCACTCTTCTGTTAGAAACGCCCCAGAGCACAACCTGGTTTTACCTGTGCTATATTTTTTCAGCCTTGCAAAATTGCCCTGGAGATTTACCAGCCCAGGCAGACAATTGACGTGCCCTCTTTTTTCTAGGACGATGGGAAAAATGGATCATGTGTTACCCACCCATCAGGTAGGGCCAGATCCTCAGCTGGTGTAAATCAGGGTCGCTCTCTTGGCTTCAGTGAAGCTGTGGCCATTCACACCCACTGAGGATCTGGCCTGAAGAATTTTACAGTGCCTCCAGGTGGAAATAGACATCCTATGGTTTTGGGTCTGGCCGTCTGGTCACTTTCCACTATGCACTGACTATTTTGATCATTTTATTGATGCACGTAACTCAAAATGCTACTGAGAGGCTGGCAGATTTTAGTTGGGTCATGCCCAGGGCAGACTGGGACAGAGGGACTGGGGTGGTGGTGGGAGGGAGCACTACCAGTCTCCCAAAGCAACTGGGTCTCAGTCTGGCAGCCCTTTCCACATGTTCCTCTGTATCCCAACAGCTGTGCTTGTCTCATCCTTTTCCCAGAGATGCTATTGCCAAGATCCTGTACTCCCTGCTCTTCAGCTGGCTCACGGACAGGGTTAACAAGCTGGTCTACCCTAAAAAGGAGGCTCTTTCCATAGCTATTCTGGATATCTATGGGTTCGAGGTGAGCAAGGCAGAGGCTGCATGTGAGATGTTGGCCCATCCCCGATGTCCCTATAGCATATCAGGAGAATAATAACGTGGGACTAAGTGTAGCCTTAGTGTGCCTATGGGCATCTCCCGCTGAAGGCAACGCGGGTCTCAGGCCAGGCCTGAATCCAGCTCCTCGTGAGCTCAGCGGATGACACCGAAAGCCCTGGTGGGACAAATGTGTTACCATCTCATACTGGCACCAGTGTGACCTACTGGGAGCCACAGCGTGACTTACTGGGACCGTGGGACAGAAACAAAAGACATTGTGATTGGAAATGATCACACCATACATTAAATTCTCCTGCCTCCAACTCCCCGCGAGGATTCACAGGAATCCCATCCGGGACCTGAGATTCACCCTCCTGCTTTCTGATGCTGCCGCAAATCCTCCCACCTTCAGTCCCCATGGGCTAGCGACCAGGGCGTTTCACTCACCAATTTTCTAATGACATCTGTGGAGAGAGTTATCGATGGCCTGGGCTCCCCCTTCCCCCTCCATGGAGTCTGGCCAGCATTTCCCTGCATGCTTTGCACTTTGCAGCCGTGCACTCAAAATAGTCCCAACTCAGGGCCAGATCCGCAACTGGTGTAAATCATTGCTGCTCTGTTGGGTCAACAGAGCGACGCTAACATACACCAGCCAAGGATCTGGCCCGTCAGTCATCTTACTGTAAAACGGTGGATGTGTTTAACATGCGTCTGGTTCCGTCCTCATGGGTTGTAATCCAGTACGGGCCTGGGTGACATATGCCTCGTTGTCCTGTAAACATGCCAGCGGCAGAGAATCCGGGAATGGTTTGGAGACTTGGATGGTTTTGCCACCTGGGGCAGGATGCTCACTAAGGTCCAGGCCCAAAGTGCCACTTCCAGTTTTTTCCCTTCCTCAGCAGAGCAAATCCCCCTGAACGGTTTGTCAGGCCCCAGGCACTGATGTCTCCAGAATCGGAGGTGTTTGTGTGTGTTCCAGTCTTGACCTCGCCGCCCAAGCTCTGCTGATCCTCACCCACCACCCCAGCCCACCCTGATCTCTAGATCTGTCTGTTCCAAGCCCCTGTTCCCCAACAACTCCTCCCCCACCCCCCACCCCGAACTTCCTATGCATAAGAACACAGGAGGTGCCAGGCGGGATCAGACTATCTAGGTCCGTATCCCCTACCTGTGCAATCCAATTCTTTCCTATGCCAGCCGTGGGCCATCTCACAGCTCTGCCAATGTGGCTTAGTCTCGCTGTGTATCATTACCTGCTGTTCCAGTCCGGCTGTACCAGTGCATCTCAGTCCTGATCCCCCTCTCTCCCCCTCATGGGGCCTCCACCGCTGCTCGTCCCACAGCCCCTCAAACCCTGACCTGCAGCACCCCTTGCTATTCCAGTCCTGAGCCTCTCCTCGAGAGATGCAGCCAGTTGTGACCAATGTTGCCATTTTACATGGTCCTTCTGTGATGAGCACCGATGGGAGCGAGGCTGTGGCCCAGCAAATGCATTTGCAGTTTGGAGAAAAGCCAGGATTAAACTTCTAAGTACAGGGGTGAAAGTCTGCTGTGCTCACTCACTATCCCTTAGCCCTGCTACGCCTGCTTCCAGGCATGCTTTACATGGGTGTGTATTTTCCACAGGACCTCAGCTTTAACAGCTTCGAGCAGCTATGTATCAATTATGCAAACGAATATCTGCAATTCTTCTTCAACAAGATCGTCTTTAAGGAGGAGCAGGTGAGCTGGGGAAGCTGGGTGGAATCGAGGCAGCGCCTGGCCTGTTCCTGCTACCTGCCAAACCTGCAAGTGAGAGAACAGTCCGGCCCCCCTTTATAACACCTCGGGGAAAGCTACACTGGGTGCTACCATTCCTAGTCCCCAGAGCTTACTTCAAAGCCTGCAGGGCAGGCTCCAGGATTATTTGAAACCCCTCATTCTTTGAAGGCCTTTGGTTGATCCCCGTGCCCCCTGGATAATGGGAGTTCTTCTGGAAAAGGTCGGCCTAGTAAGAACTATGTCAAGGCCAAATAATCGTAATAAAGACCTATAAGCCGGCTGACTAAGCCCGAATCACTGCGGCCTTTTGCTACCCCGTGACCTACTTGCATGCGCTTCCTGCAGGAGGAGTACGTCCGGGAACAGATAGAGTGGAAAGAAATCACCTTCAGCGACAATCAGCCCTGCATCGATCTCATTGCTCAAAAGCCACACGGGATTCTGAGGATCCTGGATGACCAGAGCTCCTTCCCACAGGTAGTGGCGCTGCAGAGGGCTTTGCACTGCCCGCGGCTTATTGGAAAAATGCGGTTCATTTTTAAAAGTGATCACGGCGAGCTAACCAGAGAGGCGAGTGCCATTAGCTCCTGCAGATGCCGTGGTAATGGGGCTGATCCGCCTGTCCCTGGGTTCATTCCCATGTCTTGATGCCTTGATCTCTGTAAAGGCAGACAGCCTTATTTATATACTCTGATCCTTGTGTACGTAAGCTTTAGAGAGGGATCCTGGAGGCATCCTATGGTCACACTAAAGGTATTGGTTCAAATTCAGAGCTGCTGGGTGAGAAGGTGCAATCCCACTGTCCCCCCACCAGGGATGGAGGTGGCCAACCAGGGCAAATAAACTGGAGCAAGGGCAGGATTGGAGCAAAACTGCCATGAAACAGGAATTCTTTCCTCACCGTGGGTGGATGTGTGCACACCAGGGCCCCTTACTGGATGGAATCAGAGTTTCACAACTGTGTGTCACAGGCCCTATGCTGCTGGATGAGATTCTCCCTTAGCTCGCGTGTTAGGAGGGCCTGGCTTTCAGGCTGTGTCCATACTGAAGCTGGAGATGTAATCTCCCACTCCGGCAGCCATACCTGCGCTAGCTCTGACAGAGCTGGCATGCTAAAAATAGCTGCGGCCACATTGGGGGTGGGACAGGTTAACCTTCCCGAGTACACTCCTGTCTGAAATGCTAGGAATGTACCCGGAGCAGCTAGTCTCTCCCATCGCCCATCCAGCTGTGGCTACACTGTGAATGGTATGTCTACTCAAGAAATCACACTCTAGCTCCAATGTGGACATACCCTTTGAGCAGGAGGGTCTACAGTTCAGCGGCTGTGTTGCTGTGGAGTTGTGAGTGGTCGTGGGGACACCTGTGCAGCATGGAGAGGTTCAGGAAGTTCCAGGTGGCCGTAGATTGTCTACAGTGGCTTCTAGCCAGGGATCTCAAAGAGCGTTTACAGATGTTAATAAACGACGCCTCCCAAGCCCCCTAAGAAGGAGGGGACACTGAGACGTGTAGCAGTGAGGTGACTTGCCTGAGGTCACACAGTGAGTCAGTGGCAGACCTGGGAACAGATCCCCCAAACACGACTGTCTGACTCAGAGTTCTGTGCTCTAGCCATTCGTCAGTGCTCCTTCCAGCTTGTTGCCCCAATCCAGGTGAGTTTTACCTGCTTTCAGGTTTCATTCCAAATGTTTGGCCAGCTCTGCCAAGTGCTCCCTGTGATGTAATACTCCCCACCTATAGGCCAATGCTGAACATGGTGATGGTGAGGGGAGATATCAGAAGTTCCTTCCTGACCCTTCAGGTTATCAGTTTACATGCCCTGAAGCATGAAAATTTTTTCCACCCCTAAGTTCATATGAATGGCTCCCAGTGTTACCAATGCTCATGTAATCACCCAGCCCTCGATCTGGCTGACTGCTGATGCAGAGCAGTCCACAGGGGCTGGTTAAATAGTGATAAAGGCTGGCTAGAACAGTGAGGCTGCATGCTTGTGGCTGTAGCCTGCAGGCAGTCAGGTTGCCTACTTAACCCCATGCACCCCTATTCCTACTTCCAGGCCACAGACCATACTTTCCTCCAGAAGTGTCATTACCACCATGGCTCCAACGCATTATACTCCAAACCAAAGATGCCTCTCCCAGAGTTCACCATCAAACACTATGCTGGCAAAGTAACCTACCAGGTGAGTGGCTGGAGAATTGGGATTCAGAGTAGGAGCAGTGCTCTGTAGCTGCCAGTCTGGCTCTCTTTCCCACAGCTGTGCCGCGAGCGCTAGATCCTCAGCTGGTGTAAATCACAACTCCAGAGGTGCTCTGCTGGCATACCCCAGCAGAGAATCTGGCCCTTAATTTCTAGATCTTCCATGTCATACCCAATGGGTTTGAGTAACTGGGGAGGGATCTGTTTATTTTTCCAGGTGCACAAGTTCCTGGATAAAAACTATGATCAAGTTCGCCAGGACGTGCTGGACCTTTTTGTCAACAGTAAAACCAAAGTAAGGGCTCACGCTGGCCTCTGACTCTTTGCTGCCATTGCTGGCGGCGCTGGCAGGGAGAGTGGCAGGGAGGGCGCTGGTGATGGATCTGGGGGTTGCCTGATGGTATGGTACAGCAGGATTGCATTTTCTATAAGAGGCAGTGTTGCCTATTAGACAGAGCGGTGGACTGGAGTCAGGAGACCAGGATTCTAGTCCCAGGTCTATCTCTGGCTTATTGGGAATAGACTTCTCTCTGGACCTCAGCGTCCCCAGATGATACTGACCTCCTCTGTAAAGTGCGTCGAGGTCTACAGATGATTAGAGCTAGGTGTGATTGTTACACGTGCTGCCACTCGTGAGACTCCCTTTCCCACTCAGAGCAGTGGCCACAGTGAACATAATTAGCTCCTCCAGTGTTCACAGGGCTGCCATGTGATTTCCCCCCTTGGAACGCTGTCATGCCTCTGGGCAGTATCTGTTATTTGCCTCTAAAGAGCAGCCCGTCTGCTTGCTCTCTGCCGAACAATGTGAATCCTGGCTACCGAGGCAGAATCATGGAAATCGGAACTAGAGAAGGCCTCTGATGTCACCTCCTTCTTCCCCAGGGCTTGGGGCAGGATCGGTCCCTCTCATAGGTTTCCCAGGGATTTGTCCAGCCGCTGAAGTCCATTCAAGAAGCTTCTTGGATGTGAGTGGAATTGGAACTAGAGAGGTCTGTGGGTAACCCAGAACACGGAGACACCTGCCAACCTTACGGGCACTTGTTAATCCACCTGGCAAGTTGACCAGTGTGGTTTGTAAATGTACCACCTTCCCCCAAGACAGTGCTCCTGGGCGGGGTGTAACAGACAAGGCCACTCTAGGATTTTGAAGAATACTCACATGCAGATGCTAGAGGCAAGCACTTTAACAGCCACTGAACTCCACTCATTCCTGATTTACTTGCCCTATCTCACTCCAGCTAACTTGGCCGATAGCACTTTGCTCTTCCATAGCGCCTTTGGTCTGAGTATCTCAGACAGATCATGTGACAAAAACCAGATAAGCTTCCCAGCATCCCATGAGGACACAGTACGGGTGATCCCATTTTGTAGGTGGGGAAATCGAGGCACAGAGCAGGGAGGTGACTTTCCCAGGATCACACAGTACGTCAGTGACAGGGCTGGGAAAAGAACCCAAGAGTCCTGACTCCCATTCCTGTGCTTTAAGTTTTGAACCCTCTGAGGATACAACTGTGCACATAATGAACAATAATAATCCCTAACTCTTATCATTGGTAAATCTCAAAGAGCTTCACAGAGGAGGTCAGTATCATTACGCCCATTGTACAGATGGGGAAACTGAGGCCCAGAATGGGGCAGTGACTTGCGTAGGGTCACCCAGCAGGCATTGGCAGAGCTGGGAATAGAACCAGGTCTCCTGAATCCCAATCTAGTGCTTTATCCACTAGGCAACACTACAGAAGACATCTCAACAGAGCCTTATTCCTTCCTGCTTTTTAACTATGCCCCTCCCTTCCAAGGTGGTGGCCAACCTCTTCTTCGGCCATGCCCAGTTGGTGGCCCAGCAGAGGACCATGATGGGGAAGAACAGCACCGTCACCCGGCGGTATAAAGCTCCTACGGTGGCAGCTAAGTTCCAGCAGTCACTCCTGGACCTGGTGGAGAAGATGGAGAGGTGAGTGAGCAGAGAGCTTAAAGAAACAGGGATTCAGAAAAGTGCCTATTCAGAGTGGGGAGGAAATGGGCTGGTGGGAAAGATCTGGCAGCTCCTCATCGTTCCACATTCCGGAGTGGGGTATAGACCGGCCCAGAGAGTCGTCCCGCAGAGTCCTGGTCTGGAACACGGAGGGAAGGGATCTTTCCAGGACATTGTAACAACATAGTTGCAATACACTGGTCTCCAGAGCCAGAAGCTAGGACTCTCACAGGGCCCAGGGGAGTTAGGTGCCTTGGAAAGTCCCTGCCGGCGTGGCTGACATGCCTGGAATGCTCTTTGGTGAAGACAGCTGGTCAGTACTCGGCTTGGTTTCACGGTCACCGTGTGCAGCAGAGACCTCCCAGCACTCCCTGGGAAGCCCTGTGGCCTCCAAGCTTGTGGGTTTCTTGGTCTCGGCTCCCCCAGCGGATAAGCCTGTCTCTCTCTCCGATTCAGGTGCAACCCGTTCTTCGTCCGCTGCCTCAAACCCAACAACAAGAAGGTAAGAACACGTCATGCGGCTGGTGGGGTGGTGGTGGGGAGGCCGGATGCAGGGTTAGCAGTGCCAAGGGTATGTCTCATTGACATAACCCCGGATTGGGAGTTCCCCCTTCTCTCCCTGTTTCTATTAGTCCTGGGCACAATGGAAATGGTGGGCTGGGGAATGGGCTGTATGGAGAGGGGCTAGGTGTCCCAAGAGGTCTTGTACCTGTGCTGAGCAATGGCTGTGCCCCTGACGTCAGCTGGAGCTGTGGGTGCCCAGCAGCACCTCTGAACATCATGTCTTACCAAGGCACCCACAAAGGGAGCCCACTTTTAAAAACGGGGGCCAAAGTGACATGCCCAAGGCCACCCTGTGAGCCGGTGGCGGGGCCAGGAATGGAAGCTGCAGTTCCTGATTCTCAACCCTGGGCATTACTCACTAGATCTGGCTTCTTCTTAGCACAGGGAGTAAGGCATGGGTGTCCTATATGGGCACTGTGATAAGTGTGCCCAACCCTGGCTGGGGTCACAGTGGGTGCTTGTAAAGGGAGGGGGCTGCTGGTAGCCCAGTGCCTTTCAGTTCTGTGCCACGCGGCCTGCAGTGCACCGGGCAAGTCTCCAGTTATGGCTTCACACTGTTCCCCAGCCTGGATCTTATCGCTCTAAAGGCTGTTTGGTGAGATGTCTGGCCTGCAGGTGCCTCATTGAACAAAGGGAGACAATGCACCGAGACTGGACCTCACCCATTGTCTCGGCTTGTTTGCTCTCGAGCAAACACACCTCCTGCTTTTTACCCACTCCCTTTCCTGGTTACCCTCCCAGCTTCCTTTGAGAGAAGAACCAGCTGCTGGGCCAGAGAGACAATAACGCACTGCATTGATGTCTGTCTCTGGCCTCACGCAATGTGTGTCCCAACTATCCTCGGCTGGGTGGAATCTCAGGCCTGCTTAAGTGTGTGTGATCACATCGCCCTCTAGAGGCTGAAACTGTGAGAGACTATAAGCCAGGGGTTCTCAAACTGGGGGTCGGGACCCCTCAGGGGGTCGTGAGGTTATTACATGGGGGGTCGTGAGCTGTTAGCCTCCACCTCAAACCCCGCTTTACCTCCAGCATTTATAATGGTGTTAAGTATATAAAAAAACTGTTTTTAATTTATAAGGGGGGGTCGCACTCAGAGGCTTGCTATGTGAAAGGGGTCACCAGTACAAAAGTTTGAGAACCACTGCTATAAGCCTTACTATCACCACACAGACTGTGCATTTGGCCACTTAAGACACATCCGGCCTGGGCGACAGCAACCACTTTATTCCTGGAATAGGATTTGTCACAACCGAGCAGATATAAGCTCTTTGCAAACATGCTGCTTGACACTTTATCACAAAGAGTGGGGCGAAAAAGCTCTGTCCAGAGAGGAGAATCCCCTTGGAGATCAGGCTTTAGTTGCCGGTAGCAGGAGGTTTGCAAGCAGATGAACTGCACAAAAGCATTTCAGTAACATCAGGAAATGCGATGCTTTAGCCATGCTGTCTCATATGCAAGAGATTCCTCCTCCTCATTGCCGCCTTCTCCATTTCTTCCTCTCTCTTCTCCCCCAGAGCTCTCCCGAACCAGTGACACTCCCCGCACCTAGACCCCGATTCAGCAAAGCTCTTAAGTAAATGTGGAGCTTTAGGTCCCACTGAAGTCAGTGGCCTGAACTTGAGCATGTGTCTGAGTGCTTGGCTGAATCGAAGCTCCAAGGCCGAGGATGCTGCATTGCCCCTACACAGCCACCAGCCCTGTCTTCCTCACTCCTGCTTCACTTGGCTCGAATGGGCGATTAAAGCCAGGCTGTAACGACCCCCCTCCCACCTTTCCTTTTGCTCAGGAGCCAGCTGTCTTCGAGGCAGACATTGTCAGCAGCCAGCTCCGGTACTCTGGAATCCTAGAGACCATCCGTATCCGCAAAGAGGGCTTCCCGGTTCGCATCCCCTTCCAGATCTTCATCGACAGGTGCTGCTGCCTGGAGTTGCAGATTCCAGACTGAGAAGCTTTGGGATGGGGGTGGGAAGGGGCATTTCCCAAGTGGGAGCTCGAGCAGACAGTGGGAGTGGTAGGGAGGGAGGGCAAAGTAGATTCCTCATCACTCGAATCAGTTGTAAAGGGGCTGGTCCCCCACACAGGAGGAACACACTGTAGGGAGCAATCCAGTACCGCCCCCCACAGGCGGCTCCTATCAGGTCTCTTCCCTCTCTAATTTAAATGAGTACTGGGGATCGTGTCTCCCGAATTTCTGTTCTGGGCCCCGTTCTTGGCTCTGATGTGGGTGGAATTACTCAAGAGGGTTTGACTTGACTTGAGTCTGGATCTCATGCCTTAACTGTGCTCCCGGGGCCCTACAGGTACAGGTGCCTCTTAGATATCCGGCCTGGCATCACCCCAGATGGCGTGAGCTGTGTAGAGGTGCTGAAGAAGCTGTGTGCTGTGAGTCCCACCATGTACTGCATTGGAGTCAGCAAGGTACGGTTGTTGCCTTCCCCTTTGACCATGGCCAAGAATCTCTGCGTAGCCTGGACAGGGGAAGGGAAATCAAGGGCAAGATGCTGTACGGATTCTGCCTATGGTGAGGGCTTATGGCTGGCTGGATGATGTCTCAGCCTGGGGAAACCCTGCACCATTTGTATCCTGTGGGCCACAGGGTCTGTTTGCAGGGACTGGCAGGGGAAGCTACCTCTGGAGGTTCCCCTGCATGAACCAGCCGCTCCAGGGAGGGCAGAGAAGGGCCTGGGCGGCCGGGCAACATTTGTCAAGGTTTGTGGACTGTTAGGGAGATTGGATCAACGTCTGCAAACAAAGCGGAATCCCAAACCATAACGATGGGCCTGAGGTCACATTTTCAGTTGTGCCCACGCAGCGTGCACGTGCAGCCATGCCCACGGAACGGCATGCCCAGCTTGCACGTGGAACTGCACTTGTGAATCAAGTAACGGCACTCACGAGTGGCCCCTGGTGTGCAGAGTGGGTTCTCTGCATGAACGCTTACCTGCTCGCATGTGCAATCGTGGCGACTCCATGCACACCATTGCACACGCACTTTTCACACGTGCACGATATAGGAAAATTAAATCCTAACCCTACCATTATTTCCTGGGGCTGCCCTGTCTGTCTGTCTGTGTCCATCTGTTGTCTTGTGTCTTTGGCTTAGATTGAAAGCTCTTTGGGGCAGGGGCTGTGTATGGTTCTGTGTTGGTACAGTGGGGTCTTGGTCTGTGACTGGAGCTCCTGCATGCTACCACCATACAAATAATAATAATGCTAATTATAATAATAATCAAGCCCAGATTGTGCAACACTCGTTTGTATGAATCCCATCAGTTCATGCCTGCCAAAGGCCTCCTGGAAGAAGGGTGCTGAACCACTCCAGAAGTCAGTATCGCCAACCCCAGAAGTTCAAAAATCATGAATCAGACCCCCAATTATCATGTGATTGGCCCCAATATTATGAGATTTTAAAAATATATTATGTTTTTGATTTGGCTTTGATTTTTGAATTCCCCATGTGTGTAGGGCAGTTATAGTGTGTAATCGCCCCCTGTCCTGCCAAGGTGCATGTGGGGCAGTTACTGTGTGATCTCCTGCTGCCCCCCCACACTCCCCCCGCAGGGGTGTGTGGGACAATTAGTGTAGCCAATAAGATGGTTCTGGCCTTGCTGCAGAAGCTCTTGCTGTTGCTTGATGGTGCAGAGCTTTCAGCTTCTCCCCACCCCCCAAATTCTAATTAATGAATTATCTGTCCCTCCCCCAGCCCCACATCAGCTTTACCCCCACAACCCACAGCCTCACTTGCAGGTGCAGGGACTCCTCACTGCCCCGCTTACCAGCCTTGGTGTAGCAAGGATTGAGAGGGACAGGGGGGAAGAGCAGGGAGCAAACTGAGCCCGTGCTCACAGGAGGGAGGGGCAGGAGGAAGTGAAAAGAACCCAGCAGCTCATCCCTACCCAAAAACTCCTCTTGGCTCGTGGGCCAGAGCAAAGGGGGAGTTCTGCCTGCATCTGTGGGGGCTGTGATTGGCTGCCCATCCCCAGGAGGCAGGGCAGTGGGGAAGGCAGCCAATCAGGGGATGTCCCCCCACCCCAGGCAGGGCTGAAATTGGCAAGAGAGTGGGAGCATCTCATGTCATCGCCAGACATGCTCCAGTCCTGGCCGAAATCCTTGCGTGGAAACGGCGTGAGCTGGAGGCACCGCGAGTGAGCGGTCATTGCAGGCGTTCATTATTCCTTGTCTTTTGGAAGCAGCCAGAGGGCTCAGTGGGCCTCAGGGCCCCATTGTGCTGTGAGCTGAACAAAGCAGCGGGCTCCCCGCTCCCCAGATCATTCAGACATTACACAGACCAAATCTTCTGCCGTCTCCAGCTCTGGGCCGGGGAGAGGTGGGGGAGTTATGGTCTCTGCTGCCCCCACAGTGGTCAGGGAATCCCCAGACATTCCCCTGTTTCAGGTGGGTTTCCTGTGGGAGCCATTTGCTATGGCTGAGCCGATGTCAAAGCCCAGAGACTGCAGGGGTCTGTTGTGTGCAGTGCTTTTTTTTAGAGTGTCTGCATGTCTCTGGGGATTTAGTCCCTGGATCTTTGTCCCCATGTCATAGAGCACTGCCCAAAGCATGATCTAGTCCCCTAGAAACACTCTGCCTGCTGGGCCTGGTGGTTTATCCCCGGCTGGTGCTAGGGCCCGTAACATTGGCGTGTGATGCTCTGTCGGCTCTGATCACGATGGGAAAATTCAGACGTGCCCTTCACCGTAGTGCCCACGGCCTCTTTGATAGCCAGACCTGTTGGGAGTTGGAAACAGACGTTGTCATAGCGAGAGTGATTACAGCTGGCATTAAAGGGACACCGGCTGGAAGTGGGCATGGCTGCCATCCTGCATGGTGACGGTACTCTTGGCCTGATACAGCCCTGAAAATCCTGCTGCCAAACTGGCCCCCTGGAGCCCTGATTACATGAGGTGGGGGTCAGAACTTGGGCCCCCAAGCTGCTGCAGGGGATGCTCGTGGCTGGGGTTGCACCCTCTCTCCCATGCCTGGGCCACGTCAATGACCAGCTCTCCTCGCTCGCAGGGAGGGTCACTGGTGGGCAAAGCTTTCGGAGGCGAGGGGAGTCCTTGATGCGCCAAGGAGAACCCTAGCTGGGTGACCTCAGCTAAGCACAGCCAGGGAGCTGGGCTTGCTGGGATCATGGGTGGGGGGGTCCATTAGGCCACACTCTCCTCCCGAACCAGCCCCGCTCACGAGCTGCCACGGGATGGAAACTGACGAGCACCCCCCTGGCCCAAACACCTGCGTCTTTGGATGCCCTGGGCCACGACTGTGGTGCCCTGCCTTACAGCCATCAACCCCTTGGCGTCCGGACTCGGGTTGCCCTGCTGTGCAGCCCTCAGCAGAGTGGGATAATGAGATGTCCTGTGGCCATCTGCATGCAGCTCACGCGGGGCAGAGGCTTAAGCCAAACCCTTCCCAACCCTACTTTGCTAATTCTCATAGAGCCTGCCCCAGACCCCACTGAAATCAAGAAGAGTCTTTCCATTCCCTCCCACAAGCGCTGGGACAGGCCCCTGGCACTGGGAGCAGAGGTCCCATGGAGGTCAGTGGGAGCGGCTGGAGCCTGGGGCAGGAGCAGGAGCAGGCCCCAGCCTGGCTGGTGTCTGTTGGGTGAGCAGGTCAGAAGCTGCCCGCCACAGGGGTGGGTGCTGATGCCTTTTCTCTCTCTCCCTGCTGCCAGCTGTTCATGAAGGAACACCTGTACCAGCTGCTGGAGAGCAAGCGGGACCGTGCCCTGCACCTGGCAGCGCTCACCCTGCAGCGTTGTGCCCACACCTTCTTCATCAAGAGACGCTTCCGCTCACTGCGCCGCAAGATCATCCTCCTCCAAAGCCAGTCCCGGGGCTACCTGGCCAGGTGCTGGGGGGTGGGGCACCGCCGGGGTGCCGCTCTGCCCTGCCGCGCAGGGGCCCAGCCAGCCTCTCACTCTCCTGCTTGGGAAGGGCCGCGGGGACGAGCTACTGGGGGACCAAAGCCCACACCAAGGCCCCAAGCCCTTCGGGGCGCCCCTGGGCTGAGTTTCGAGTGGCCCTGCGCTGAGCTTTGGGATCAGGCGGGATCCAGGCAAAACCAAACTGTTTCAATGGGCAGAGCATAGACTATTAGAGACATGTTCCAAAACGAAACATGGGGGGAGAGGGGGGGAGAATCTGCCCCCACTGCACTGGTGTCAAGGCCTATGGAGCAGGCACGACCTTTCACCCCACGGCAACCCCCGCCCCCCAAAGGACCTGATCCAAAGGCCATTGGCAAGATTCCCATCAACATCAGTGGGGTTTGGCTCGGGCCCCCAGCTTCCGTGTTACATGTATGTAGAATCCTTGGGTAGAGTCCAAACCAGCGGGGCACCTGCAAGCGAGCCGTGCTGCCGACTGTCATTGGAGGATGGGCTGAAAATCTCTGTTCTCTCCCTAACCATTCCAGCTAGAAGTTGCGGAGGGGAGGACGGGGAGCTGGACTGGGAGCATCCAGCAGCAAACGGGGGACAGGCTGATTCGGTGCCATAGGAGCACTCTGGTGTCACGCACCTATGGCCAGTGCTGGTCAGGCAGAGCCCAGAGTCCCTTCCCTGTGCATGACTTCCCACCTTCCCGAAGCTGAGCTATTTGTTCCTGCTATTTGGGCAGTGCCAGGGGCCTTCCCCCTGGGCTGGGATCTGGGTACGGGGCCCGGCGTAGAGACTTCCACCTCCTCCACTAACCACGGGGTTGCTGTCCCCTGCAGGCAGAGGTACAAGAGGCTGAGGAAGAGTCTGATCAAGTTCAGGTCCCTGGTGCACATGTACGTGAATCGCAGGAGGTACCTCAAGGTGAGAGCAAGCGGCTGGCGCGGCGGAATGGCCCGGGGGGGCGATGGGAGGGAAGGGGGTCGTGCGATGTGCCACGGGCCTGTATCTCAGGGAGCTCCGTTGGTCAGGACTAAGGAGCAACAGCAGAACTGTGGGGGGCTCAGGGGTGGAATAGCAGGTCGGGATTGAGGGGCACTGGCAGAAGCTTGCACTGTCTGTCCCTGTCTCTAGCTTTTGCTGTAGCACCAAATTCACCCAGAAAATCCAGAGTGTATTTAGGGGTAGGGGTGTCATTACCAGTCGCTCAGGCAGAAGTGAGGACGTAAGAACAGCCAAGCTGGGTCAGACCAATGGTCCGTCTGGGCCAGGATCCTGTCTTCTCATGGTGGCTGGCGCCAGATGCCCCCGGGGGAGTGAAGAGAACAGGGCAATTTATCAAATGATCCATCCCCTGTCCTGGCTCCTGCGCTGTGGGGGTGGTGCAGTCAAACCGTCTGGATGCTATGGGCCTGTGCCACACGGGGCTGGTGTTAGTGACAGCCGCTTTGCACAGGGCCAGCGACGCGGTGTCATTGTGCACAGTGGGTGTGACTCTGACCAGACGTGTAGGAGACACCGACATTGACGGAATTCATCGAAACCTGACTGGAGTCTTTGAAAGTGTGTCTGCTCCCTGCCCCACCAGCACAGGGGCGTTGACTGGCTGTCACATGGGAGTGAGATCCCAATGCTGGCACGTGCCCAGAAGCCCCTGGAGAGATGTGTGATTGCAGAGGGAATGGCATTCAGGTTTTGGACTCCAGCCAGTGCCGTGGGCCAGGGCAGGATCCTGTGGGCCAGAGCCAGCTGCTGAGCTGCTGGAAGTGAGAGTATCTTGTATGCTCCTGGTCCGCTGTCAGTGGCATCTGATCTTACCCGTGATGCTGGCTGGGGGGGAGGGTGTTCCCCTGCTGGCTGGGGACTCGGGAAGCTATGGATAGCCTGCAGTGGGGGCGCAGATCCAGCCGTGCGTGACCCCCCTGCCTAAGGGAAAGATGGAGGGCGGGGAGCTGCAGAGTGTATGAGACGCTCCCCCAGGGTGAGGAGCCCCCAGTGGCCACTTGCCTTGCCTGTGCTAATGCCCAGCCCTGCCCATGGCTCGCTCCTCACCATCTGGCCCCCAGTGCTCCCAGTTCAGAGCAGAGACTCTCTGGCTGCTGTGCTGGGGGTGGGAGATCTGGGCCAGGCACCCGCGTGCCGGCACAGGAGGAAGGGTTAAGCCTTGACTTCGCCAGCTCTGTAGGCAAACAAACAGAGCAGCCTCAAAGCAGCGAGTCCCGCCCCGGCCAGCTGTGCAGGGACGAGCACGTCCCCTGCCCGAGGCACGGCAACTGTGCCCCCAGGAGCCAGTCGGGGCCCATGAAGAGTGTCCGGTTCCAGCTGGATGGCAAGGACACGGTGAGTAACCAGCCAGAGCGTCCGGCCCAGCCTAGCCGGGCGACAGGGACGAGCGCAGGGGAGCCAGGCGCAGCCTCTCTGCATGTGCAGGAGGGATCCTGGTGCCCACTCCCAGTGCCTGCCTGGGCGTGGGCACTGGGCTGTCTTCTGATACTGATGGACCCCGGGGCTGGTCTCCTGCTGCCTTTCTTCCAGCGCTCAGGACAGGGAGAGGATAGAGCCAGGCATGGTGCAGGCAGGGGCTGGGCACCCTTCCCGTTCCCAGCTCTGCTGATACCCCCCAATACAACCTGCAGCCCCCTGCTATCCCAGCGCTGGGCTCCCCCCACAGCTGTGCTGAGGGGGTGCTGGCAACAGGGGAGCCCCTCCAGGTCTTGCGTGTCCATGCACTGTCCAGCCACCAGCCCAGCCTGCTGTACCTCGCGGTACAGAACTCTGATCCTGCTGGTTTGGCTTCATTCCCGCATCACCCTCCCGCGCCCCTCCCATCCCGGCCAGATTCCTAGCGGGCAAGTGACCCGGCCCAGGCAACCGGAGCCATTCGCACAGCAGCCGGCTGGGTGTGTGTCGCGGCTGCTCTCCACGTGCCAATGTGCTCTGCTTTCAGAGGAAGGAGGAGGCTCGCAGGCGGGCGGAGGAGGAGCAGAAGAAGGCTGAGCAGGTAACGCCTGGTGGCCTCACGTGCAAGCATGCTGGTGCGTGTACATGTGTAGTGTGTGTGTAGCGCAGGCAGGGACAAGCGCAGGCAGGGACAGGTGCACGAGTGCACCGGTGCGTGGGCGGGAAGGATGTTTGCGCCTGCATGCTGATGCGGGTAGAGGGCACACGTTGGACGTCGGTGGGGTGGGGGGTGCATGCCACTGCCCCTCAGAGTGTGTGTGTGTGTGTCCCCCCGGGCTCTGCGGTGGGTGAGGTGTGCCTGGGCTGGGGGTGGGCTTACGGTAGCTGCCCACTGGAGCAGTTCTGGGTCACGTTCTGCTGTTGCCCGCGTCAGCTGGACTCGGCCTCCTCCCTATGCTTGGCGGGGATGGTCGAAGGGCTCAGGGCCCTGCGGAGCGAAGCAGGTGGCCGTCTCTCCGTCTGTGGGTCCTGCTGCAGCTGGGTTCTGGGAGCCCAGCCTGGGCTCCCCCCTCACAGGGGATTGGACCCAGAGAGGTGATGGGAGCGGGGGGAGCCTGTTAGATCATCCAGCTCTCCAGCTCAGCACCGGAGGAGAGCGTGGACGGTGACGGGTGTCTCTGTGCTCTGCTCTCAGGAGCTGACCAAGAGGGAGGTGGTGGATGTAACGCACCTGGAAGTCCCTGCTGAGCTGGCAGGGCTGCTGGAGCTGGCAGCAGGTAAGCGCTCATTTCCCACAGAGGGCTGGGTCGGAGCAGCTGGGAATGGTCCAGTGGCGATCCAGGCCACTAGCAAAGTCAGCTTCACCAGCACCGTCCTACTGTCCCTGTGGACGATCCCATGGGGTGTTCACCCAAGACTGCCCTGCTAAACATCTGCCTGCTTATGTGCAGCTCAGATGCCAGACTTCACCCCAGAGGTGGTTGCCCTGCAGTGATAGGTGAGGAACTCCCTAAATGTAGGGGGGTCAAATTCTAGCCAACTACTGCACCCCTAGTACGCCATGGGAGTCACGAGGGTGCAGCGGAGAAAAAGGACCTGTCCCCCAGCCTGTTAAATGCCTTGGGACCCTCAGGGAGAAAGGCCGGCTAGAGATGGAAGCTGTTATCACAACCAAGTCAGCAACATTGCACCAAGCTTCCGTCTAAACAGAGACTAGAGCGACCCCTTCCCAGAGAGGAGGCAGCAGGGGTCCAAACGGACTCGATTCTAGGCAGAGCTGTCTAATGGTTAGAGCAAGGGACAGGGTTCAGGATGCCTGGGTTATATTCCCAGTTCTGTCATTGGCCTCTGGGCCTCAGTTTCCCCTGGAATACTGTTCGGTTTAGCTGGGCCACGTTGGTCTAGGAGTCTCCAGAGAGAGTCAGTGAGCGCTGTCTCTGCCCCGCCCCAAGAAGGAGCTCAACCCAGCCTCCTGGCTGCACCAACACGGGTTTGATTCTGACCTGCCCTGGAGCTGAAGGATCCCGGGCTGACACCCCCCAGGGAGCTTCTGTTTGTTGCCCACCTTTATTCCATAAGCCAGTGGCAGGGGCTGGAGCCCCTCCTCCTCCCCACCCCACTGACTCCTGGTGCCTCTGTTCTGCCCCAGCTCACAAGCCGATGAATGCTCAGTGCGTCGTTCCGGTCCCTTCGCCCAAACTGCAAACGAACTCCCAGCTCACCCTGCCGCTCGACATCAACAACTACCCAATGGCCAAGTACGTGTGGGTCCACTTCCAGGTAAGGGAGACACTGAGCAGCCCCCTGAGCCACTCCGTGCCCTCTAAAGAACGGGCAGTATAAGAAGGGAGTGATGCTCAATAGTTAGCTGGGACCGGAAGCCAGGACCCCTGGGTTCTATTCCTGTCTCTGGGAGTTAGAGAGCGTGCTGGGAGTTAAAACTTCAGGGATCTCCTCCAGCTCTGGGAGGTAGTGTTAAGTGATTACAGCAGGGGCCTGGGAGTCAGGACTGCTGGAGTCTCTTCCCGCCTCTGCCACTGACTCGCCGAATGACCTTGGGCAAGTTACTTACCCGCACTTTCCCCATCTGCAAAACGGGGCCAATGGTGCTTACTGACTTCCCAGGGAAGTTAGGAGGGGCCTGATCCTGTGACATGCTGAGCACCAGGTAAATGAGCACGGAGGATGCTGAGGCTTGGATGCAAGGGGTGCCTCCAGGCAGATTGTAGCATCTATGAATGGGCCTGAGCTTAAAGGGACTCTTTTGAGAGAAAATGAGACGATTGGAGAAAGGAAGCATGCTTCTCTGGGATCCTGGCTCCCCTTTGATCACTGAATCAACGTCCCTGACCTGTGTGTGCCATGTGCCTTCTGGGTTTCACTCAGCCCAGACCGGGATCCTAGCCAGCTTTATTCTAGTCCGTCACGTCATTCGGGTCTCATGCATGCAGCAGGATGCCACAATCCACAGGCAGACGTTCGCATTTTTGTCCAGAAGATCTTGTCGTCATCTCATTCAAATCCTCACTCACACGTTTCTCTTCCCAGGAGATTGTGCACAGCGTCTGCTGGCGCACAGGGGCCAGGTCCTGCTCTCCACTCTGCTCCTGGAGTGATGGAATCACTCCGTGTCTGAGAGCAGAATACGGCCCCTAGCTCGGCATTTGGCCTGTGCCTGTCTCATAGAATCATAGAATCATAGAATATAAGGGTTGGAAGGGACCCCAGAAGGTCATCTAGTCCAACCCCCTGCTCGAAGCAGGACCAATTCCCAGTTAAATCATCCCAGCCAGGGCTTTGTCAAGCCTGACCTTAAAAACCTCTAAGGAAGGAGATTCTACCACCTCCCTAGGTAACGCATTCCAGTGTTTCACCACCCTCTTAGTGAAAAAGTTTTTCCTAATATCCAATCTAAACCTCCCCCACTGCAGCTTGAGACCATTACTCCTCGTTCTGTCATCTGATACCATTGAGAACAGTCTAGTCTCGTGGAAGTGGTGTGCACACGTGCGATGCCACTGTCTGACAGACCGTTCTGTATTTCTCGAGCTGGATGCTGGCCTACCTCCCTCACTTCCCAGCTGAACACGCCGGGATTGGAAGCTCGGTGCTGGGGGATTTTGTAATGTTCCTTGAGTCACCAATGATCGTTCCAGCCAGGACCTTTCAACGGGCCTGGCCTGTTGTTGGCCTTCATGGCTGCCCATAGTCTGAGCTTTGCCAAATCCCTGCAGCCGAGTTCAATGCGCCTGTCCTCTACTGCCCCGCAGGAGCCATTGTTTGGGATGCTCTCCGTGCCACTGGCATCCCCTCTGACCCAGCTGGAGGAGGAGCTCATGCAAGAAGCGCTCAGTCTGTTCAAGCTGGTAGGTCGGCGTTCACAGCGTCTCCTGGCCTCGTCCCCAAGGCCTCTGGTTTGTCCAGAGCGTCTCCTTGCAGTCTGGGAATTGCAGAGGAAAGGGAGCAAGGCTCCGTCCATCCAAGGGGTAGGAGGATTCATGGCCAATGGGCATAAGTCCATAAATCAGTTTGAGCTGGAGGCCTGGGATGCCCCCTCATGTCCTGCCTCCAGCCCCTGATCCCTGGCGACCTGGCCATAGGCACATGCTCAGAGGGGCCTTTCAGCAGGGATGGAGGGAACAAGACCACCAGGAGTTCACAGCATTGCCATGGGACCTCGTGGCTTCCCCAGCGCCAGCCCAGCACCCACGACGGGTGATGCTAAAGATCTTCACCCCCCATCTCTAAAGGGGCTCCCTGTCCCAGCCCACTCAGAGCCCAGGGTGGTGGGGCTGGGACAGGGAGCTCTTCAGCAGGAGAGGGTCTTGTCTTCTTCCTTCCTGCTGCAACAACAGTTACGGCACTTGCACGTCATTCTTCCTGGGATACCGTGCTGGGGAGGAGACCCTGAGGAAGGGGAGGAGCGGGAGCAGATGCGGCCTACCTTTGGCAGGGGCGAGGAGCAGCAGCATGGCCACCACACTGTCCACTCGGGTTTGGCCTTGCAGCGCCCCGTCACGATGGAGGGGTCTGGGGCCAAACCTGAGTGGGGCACCCTGGGCAGTGGGGCAGCCAGCGCTGCTCTTCCGCCCCCCTGGCCAGTGGGGCCAGCTCCTGGACCAGTGCTCTGCCCAGGGGCCTGCCAGCCCTGTCCCCTCTCAGGGACGGGGGGTGACACTGCACCAGGGCAGGTGGGCACAAAGGCAAGGGCTGGGTGTGTCACTGGGACCAGCAGCTGCAGCGTGGATGGCTCCGTGGAGATTGATGATGCCTCCGAGGAGAAAGATTTCTGGGGGCACCCCTGGAAAGAGGGGGGAGGCCTGTCTGTGTTGCGGGAAGGGAAGGAGAGATTTCTGACCATTGCTCGGTATCCCATATCTCCTGGACTCTCTCTCGGCGGTAGATTCTGCGCTTCATGGGCGACCCACACCTTGGTGGCACCCAGGAGAACCTGTTTGGGAACTACATCGTTCAGAAGGGGCTTTCGGCACCGGGCCTGCGGGACGAGATCCTGGCTCAGATCGCCAACCAGGTGTGGCGGAACACCAACGTCAACAACGAGGAGCGGGGCTGGCTCCTCCTGGCCGCCTGCCTCAGTGGCTTTGCCCCCTCCACCAGCCTGGAAAAACACCTGCTCAAGTGAGCACTGGGGCTGGGGCAAGGCTGTGAGGGAGCCCAGGGGACAGGGCTAAACCCTCTAGCTCCCATGGGCTCCAGCTAGAAGTAGGGGTTCCCAGCACTTCTTAAATCAGGCCAATCACATCCCTCTGATGGTCCCAATCCTGGGCTCCTTCAAGCCCCCTTAGCTGCCAGCGAACCCTATGGGAATCAAGGGCATCCTCACATACAGCTCCTCCGCAGGGCTCAAACCTGCAACCTTCTGCCCCAAAAACCTCTGGCTTGTACCCCTTGAGCTAAAGCAGGAACTCCTTTTGCTGTACGGCAGCAGTAGGCTATTGTAATCCCTGAGCTGACCTCTAGGGGGAGACATCAGCAGGCACGAAGCGCAGGGTATTGCATTAGCACCTGGAAAGGTTGGGGGTGTTGGGTGCACAGCCGAAGACATGCCCCTGCCTCGCGGCTCCATCATGGCTTCCAGGTGGCCCGTGGCATTGCCTGGAGAGCGCGAGTCAGTGAAAGTCAAAGGAGGTTGTGTCCTGCTCCGTTGTGCAGATGCATGTCCTGCTGGCCCAGCCTCCTCCCAGCCCCCATTACTCTGCTGGCCCAGCCCCCTCCCATGGCGTCCGTCCTTCCTGTGTAGGTTTGTTTCCGACTACGCCTTTGATGGCTACAAGCCGGTGTGCCAGCACAAGCTGATGCAGGCCATGCTGCGGTCCCAGCTTGGCCCCGAGATGGCCCGGGCCTACCCGCCATCGCTGCTCGAGTGGACGGCCAACAGGCAGAGAGCAAGCATGGCCTTGGACGTCTACTGCTTCAACGGTGAGGGGCCTGTGGGACGAACCCAGGGGCCTTGGTCAAGACTCAGCACATGGGGTGAGGGGGATTGAGGGCGGCTACAGGGAGAGGTGATGCCACTGCCCTGGTGGGCCAGACGCTGGTGAGCCTGACTGGCACCCTGCGCACACCCCCATGACTCAGTGGGGACTCACGGGGATTAGTGAAGGCAGAACGTGGCCCAGAGTCTAGGCTCTTGGGGGCGGATAACGCCAGGATCTTGGGGAACCGGCCCCAGGGTAAGAGGGGGTGTGGGGGAAGCAGGGAGGTTTGGGCTGGGCCGTTGCACTTGCAGGGTCGATCAGGACTGAGAGGCAGACCGCAGCCTGGGAAGCGATGTGCAAGGGAAAATGGGATGGGAGGTGAGGGAGTGGGGGTGCAGTAATTTGCGGGAGCCCAACATTTGGGTGCACTGCAGCCCTCATTTAGCCTTAACAATCCTCTGTTTCCATCCCTTCCCTGGGCCCTTCTTTCTCTCCCCAGCCCTGGGGGCAGTTTTGCCAGTGCGCGCTCACTGCCCCACATACCCAAACGGACTCCAGGTGCTGGGGGTGCGGTGGTTGGGGCTGGGGTTCGGCTGCTCAGTAATGCAGCAATTTGACCATCTGCTCTTAACTTCTCAGGTGGCCACTTCTCCTGCCCCATCCGTTCCTGGAGCACAGGGGAGGAGCTGGCAGGGGACGTGCTGAAGCACAGGTAGGGAGGCTTTGGCCCTGCGGGGGATGGCACCTGCCCCATGGATCTGTCTGCTCCGTGTCCCACAGGGACTGTGGAAGCCCTTGGCCCACACTGCACTAGGCAGAGCCGGCTAGGCTGGGGCTCTCTAGTCATGTAGGAAGCAGTGACTAGCTAACGCTACACAATTTGGATCCAGATTCCCAATGGGCAGGGTGCATCCGGATCTGGGGAGCGAGGGAGCTGGTTCAGGCCCCATCTCTAGCCATACGCAGCCCCTCTGGAGTAAAGCAGTGAGCCCTTCCCAAGCAGGGCCGTGGGCTATCGCAGCAACTGCTGGCTGTGGAGCTGGTGGGTCCTATTTCTATTTCGGCAGCTGTGGGTGCGTCTTGGGGGGCGAATATCACAGCAGCTGCTGCTGGGTCTCGATGCATGGAGGGCCAGGGCCTGGCCTAGTGGCGGGGTTGAGCAGGCAGGGCTCACCCCACAAAGGCCTTCCCTGGGCCTGCTCTGCCTCCGCGCTGTGTCCCCCCACAGGGGTGCGCTCTCCTGGCTCAGAGGCTGTGCTTTGCCTGCAGGGGGCTGACGGAGGGCTGGAGGGGCTGGTCCGTCTCCATGAAAGATGGCGCCCAGTGGGCCGAGCTGGCTGGCCACGATTACATCCTGGACCTCATTTCCGACCTGGAGCTGCCCAGGGGCTTCCCCAAGCAGAAATCCCATTTCATCGTCGCTTCAGAGGGGGTGGACAAGGGCAGCGGCGCTGCCAGTGGGTAGGTATCCGGGGATGCGGCGTAGCCTGACGAGGAGAGCCCCGCTGGGCCCGGAGTCCCATGAGCTCACAGCGGCTGCAGGGGTAAGGGGGGTCAGAACCCCAGATCCCCGACGTGCAGACCTGTTCCAGAGCCGCTTGGAGCATCTGGACGCCCTTCACAGCAGCCCTGCTTTTCAAGGGCCAGCTACCAGAGCGCTGGGCCCCTTTGAAGCTCCCGATCATTCAGCTGCATCGTGTGCAGCATACATGCCACTGCAGGCACTGCAAACGCTTTCTGAGAGGCGTGAGGTGTGGCCATCGGAAGGAGGCGTGGCCAGAAGTGGGGGTGTGGCCTCTGGAGGGAGGTGTGGCCTCTGGAGGGAGCGGAGTATAGGACTGGGAGCCAGGAAACAGCTGGGCTCTAATCCCACTAGGGCCACTGGCTCGCTTTGACCTTACGTGTCCAGAAGGGCAGAAATCCTGTGAGATCAGCTGCTGGCAGGAGCGTTTGGGCAGGATGGGATGGGAGCCCATTGCCAGGCCCTCAGCCGAGCCCTGCCTCAGAGCCGGCTGCATGCAGGGTCTCCACCTCAGCGCGTCTCCCGTAGTGATGATGCCAGCAGCAGCCTGGAGTCTCCAGCGGACAAAGAGAAAGCAATGAGGGGTGGAGATTAAACAGCTGTTTCCTCTTTATGCCTCTCCCCCCTTTTCTCTGTAGAGTTTTCGGACAGGGCTTAGATTCGGATGAGGAAGTCCCTCCTCCCCCACTGACGAAGGCCCCCACTGTGCCACCTCCAAACACCCCTGACTCAGATGGATATTACAGTCGCGGTAAGAGTCAAACTGTCCTTCCTGCAGCCTTCTCCCCCAAGACTGGGCCCGTCTTTCCACGGACAAAGCAGCATAACTCCCATTCACTTCAGGATCCAGCTCAAAATCATCTTGGCCTGGGGCTTTAGAAAAAAGGCAACCCTTCCCATAATGCACCTGACCACTCCTGGTCTCTGTGGGGGAGGGGGGTTTGAGGGCCCTCCTGACCTGATGCCCTGAAGCATGAGATTTGGTCACCCCTGCTTTAGCCTGCAGAGATGTTAATGTCACTGTGGCCATGGAATTACCTGGCTATAGACTCCGGAGTGCAGGGAGTTTCACGGTTATGGGCCGTTAACTCCGGAGGCCCGTGAGCCTGGGAGGCATTTGGAAGCAGTAGGCACTAGTCAGCCAACACCTTCCTCTTCGGCTCACTCTTCCTCTGCCTGTTGTGACCCCGCCAGCAGATTCCGACACCGTCAGCGAACCTCGAACACACAAGGGGTTGGATCGTTACCTGGACAGTCTGTTTGACCCGGTCCTGTCCTATGGGAATGGGGTAAGGACAGTTCCCTGTTGGGAATGAGAGGAAGGATGGCTGGGGCTTGGGAGCCCTGCCCTACTTCACGGGGGTGTCATTAAGGACTGTGAGGGGCTCAGCTGTTAGGGAAATGGGGAAAGGTCCATGCCCATAGACAGATCAAGGGAGTCCCTGTCTTAACTGCAGGAGTTTCCGCCCGGGACCCTTAGGAGCTTGGGTCTAAGAAGGGAACGAACCACAGCAGAAAACTCTTTGGGGCTAGATTCTGTGTTTGCTAGCCAGGCCCTCTGCCCCAGTGTCAGCAAGGCCGTCGGGCTTAATCTGCTGTCACTGCTGAATGGCGTAAGCACCAGGTTGGAAGCACTTCGGCTTTAAGTCTCTGGGACCTAAGCACCTGTGTGGGCCCCTACGATCCCATGGCATTTTGGTGAGACTCAGAGCTGGGTAGCCTCTGTTCTCCCATTTCCCTTCCCACCCCAGAGGTGGCTGAATTTCTATAGCAGAGGTGGCTCTTTGGGAGTGGCGTGAAAGGTGCTGTATAAACGTCACCCGCTATTGTGTTACTGGAGTTTATTCTTGTCTCTTGTACTGTGCCAGGTGGCAGGCCCCGGGAAGGGGATCAGTTACATTGAGATTGGGAGGGCTGGCTGGGGCCAACACCCTCATCTAGGCAGAAGCATTAGGTGGGGTCCCCGAATGGGGGCATGGGGACGAGTTACCCTGGGAGAAACTAGGAGGCATGAAACCTCCGTTGTTACAACGACCCCAAAGCCGTGGACGCTTTCGGCTCCCTACCTGTCCATTGCGAGTGAAGCGTTAGCGGGGAAGGAGCTGTCACTCAATCTCCCTGGCCTGGATGTTCCCTGGCGCTCGTCTGACGTGGCTAGGATCACTTTCCAGCCTGCCACCGAGGCTCCTGCCCCTGCCACACTCGAACCTTTGTTTGCTTCATTCCCGCCCCTCTCCTGTGCCAGGACTTGGAGAAGCCAGCTGCTGTCTCCCGGAAGATGAAAGGAGGAGGCCGGGTAGGAGGTGGGAGCAGCAGTGTGGACCAAGGCGGTGCCAGAGCACCCATGGAGATGACCCAGCAAACCGGTGAGTGTGGGCAGAGCCTCCTGGCCTTGCATAGGGCAATGCCTGCCAGAGCAGGACTCTGCAGGGGGCAGGGCTCCTGGGCTCTATTCCCAGCTCTGCCACTGGCCTGCTGGGTGACCTTAGGCAAGTCACTGCCCTGCTTTGGGCCTCAGTTTCCCCATCTGCACAATGGTGATGATTATCATAATAATCATAATACCTAGCTAATGCCTAGCGCTTTTCCTCCAACAATCTCAAGTTGCTTTACACAGGAGGGCAGGATCACTGTCTCCATTATACAGACGGGGAAACTGAGGCATGGGAGGGGAAGTGACTCACCCAAGGTCACTCAGCAAAGCAGTAGCAGAGCAGAGCCAGGACTTGAACCCAGGTCTAAGTCTCAGTCTGGTGTCCTATCCACTAGGCCACACAGACTCCTTCCTCAGCTGGGAAGGGGGAGGTCAGGTGTGTGGCTGGGTGAGATCAGTGGCCAGAAGGAGCTGCAGGGTGACTGCTTGCCCTGTGCCTGTGAGCAGAGGGGTGGGTGTCTCAGGGGACTCTGAACACATCCCAGGGGAGGCTACAGCCCCGACAGAAGCTATAGGGGTGCGCTAGGGCCAGATTTCCTCAGGGAAGTTGAAATCACTAGGACCTGGGATGGTCTAGCCCCTTCCGTCCCACCTGATTTCAGTGGGGCTGGCTGGCTCAGTGACCATGGGGCCTTCCCCTCCTGAGGCTTGAAATGAGTCTTAACCACCCACCTCCCCACTCCACCCCCAGCTTTGAGGTGATTGGCTGAAGGCTGGGACTGGAGTAATGTGGGGGCTTCAGCAGGGCGGGTGGAGATCTCAGCCCGCCAGCCAAGGGCATTCCCGTATCTCTCCCACAAAGCGGGGTGGTGCCCGGAACGCAGGCGCCTCGGGGAGCAACATGCCCATATTGCTGCACCCAGGATGGTCGGTCGGATGGGCCGTTAGCGAGCCGTCGTGCTGCAGAAAACGCGGCTCCTTGGCACACGGTACAGACAGGATCCAGCCCGGGCTGGTAGGGGGTAGCAGCGCTGCGAACCAGCATGAGGCCTTCAGCCAAGGAAGGGTGGAGAGGGCTCCCTTTGAAGCCACGGTCAGGAGGGGTCAGCAATGCACGGCACTCCCCTGTCCCTGGGCTGTGCACCCTGCCCCTGCTTTCCCAGCCACTCTGTCCTCTCCAGGTCCATGCCCTACGCCCATCACTGTGGTATCTGAGCCCCAGCCAGGCTGTGCGCGCACTGCCAGGCTCCTCTGTTTGCTGGAGTGCCCCCTTCTTGGCGCACGCCCAGCCGGCAGCTCTCCCCGCCAGCCTTCCTGCTCTGGTTTCATCCCAGCTCCCTCCTCTTTGCATTTGCAGGTTTGCAGGAGCCCAACTTGGTGCTGCAGCACGACCACATCAAGCAGCAGGCCCTGCTCCGGGTCAGTGGGGCCAGGGGACTTGGGGGGCACGGTAGGGGGCGGCACTGAGGTTGAAGCACACACGTCAGTTCTGCAGGAGCTATGTGGCTTTTTCCTTGCCGATTCCAGGGCCTTAGTTCAAAATGTGCAAAATCCCTGCCCGGGACAATGGCTGGGGCAGGCAGAGGCCCCAGGCACCAAGGGGCGATGGAGCTGACAGGCCACGAGGATGTCAGGGTTTTGACACTCCCCGCCCACCCCAAGTGGGATGTGGCTGGGGCTGGCGATTTGGAGCAGCCTTGGAGGAAGGTGGCCTGCTTCACATCTCTGTCCTGCCCTGTGGGGAGCACCTGGGATGAGCGAGGGGGTGTCTGAGGAGGCGGCGGAGTCCGGCCTCGGCTCACACCCGCTCCCTCGTTTCGGCGGCGCAGGCTCGTCAGGTCACCGGGCGGGGGGTGGCTCTGCCGCAGCAGCGGGGGGATGGCACAGCCTCCCCCAGCGCCTCCCAGGCCACCAGCCCCAGCCCTGCCGACGGAGCCCCCAGCACAGTCCCGAGGGCGCCCAGCGCCGCACTGTCGCTGCAGGTGGGTCCGTCTGCTGTGCCGCCTGCTGAGGGGGATGGGAACGCACCCAGCCCGCGTTCAGAGCAAGAAGGGAACCGCCTGGCCCTAAAATCCCTGTTCTCCGCTGTTGGTGTCAAGATGAGCAGGCAAGGGATTGACTTTCTAGGATGTTACATCTGGGTGCTGGCCCCTTTTATAGCCTTTCCCTGAGGTCTAATGAGCCAAACCAGCCCCGGTGAGGAGTAGAACAGGGCTGGACAGGACCCTGCATCTTCTGGCAGATCACGTGTCCCCCCTGGGGGGCGGCTCAGCCCCGAGAAGGTGTGAGGCTGCCCTCCCGGACAGCTGAGTGCTGCCAGACAACGGCTGGCAGGCTCCCAGGCAGGGTCATTGTTTCTCCCATCTCATTCTTCTCTCACAGGCTGGCATGGCCCTAGTCCTCTTTTATGGACCCTCCCTGGAGCGGTGTGTCCTGGGGGTGAAGAGAGAAATAGAAACCCCAGGGCGTGGGGGAGGCGGACTCCCCGCACCGAGTCAGTGCTGGCCCCCGTGCGGTGTTAGGAGAAGGCGGTTACGGCCCGTGTTCGAAAAAATGTACCACTGGAGCATGTTGTGATTTAAAATGAATCTTACGGCTAATTTCTCACAATACCGTCCCTTGGCGCCTCTCCTCCTGTAAACGTATGGGTCAGTCTCCGGTCACTGACTTATGGCAGCGTTTCTTAACTCTAAGGCCTAGTATGGCTAAGCTACAATCTTACAGGCCTCAGCCTGTAGGCCTTGCGTTTCAGCCCTCCTTACTCAGCTACCTAATGCCTACTTATCCCTTCCTACTACTGCTCAGCTTTATAATCTATAGCCCTAACCTCACACAACACCCAATCCATGACTAATAAACTAAAGTAATTGGCTGCGTAGGGAACCCTGTGCCGCAGGGAGCGGGGTAGGTGATGGGGATGTGGTGTGGTACTCGGGGACCCGGTGCTGCAGGGAGCGGGGTAGGTGATGGGGATGTGGTGTGGTACTCGGGGACCCGGTGCCGCAGGGAGCGGGGTAGGTGATGGGGATGTGGTGTGGTACTCGGGGACCCTGTGCCGCAGGGAGCGGGGTAGGTGATGGGGATGTGGTGTGGTACTCGGGGACCTGATACCGCAGGGAGCGGGGTAGGTGATGGGGATGTGGTGTGGTACTCGGGGACCCGGTGCCGCAGGGAGCGGGGTAGGTGATGGGGATGTGGTGTGGTACTCGGGGACCCTGTGCTGCAGGGAGCGGGGTAGGTGATGGGGATGTGGTGTGGTACTCGGGGACCCGGTGCCGCAGGGAGCGGGGTAGGTGATGGGGCTGTGGTGTGGTACTCGGGGACCCTGTGCCGCAGGGAGCGGGGTAGGTGATGGGGATGTGGTGTGGTACTCGGGGACCCTGTGCCGCAGGGAGCGGGGTAGGTGATGGGGATGTGGTGTGGTACTCGGGGACCCTGTGCCGCAGGGAGCGGGGTAGGTGATGGGGATGTGGTGTGGTACTCGGGAACCCGGTGCCGCAGGGAGCGGGGTAGGTGATGGGGACGTGGTGTGGTACTCGGGGACCCTGTGCGGGGTAGGGGGACCCCGCAGGGAGCGGGGTAGGTGATGGGGATGTGGTGTGGTACTCGGGGACCCTGTGCTGCAGGGAGCGGGGTAGGTGATGGGGATGTGGTGTGGTACTCGGGGACCCTGTGCTGCAGGGAGCGGGGTAGGTGATGGGGATGTGGTATGGTACTCGGGGACCCTGTGCCGCAGGGAGCGGGGTAGGTGATGGGGATGTGGTGTGGTACTCGGGGACCCGGTGCCGCAGGGAGCGGGGTAGGTGATGGGGATGTGGTGTGGTACTCGGGGACCCTGTGCCGCAGGGAGCGGGGTAGGTGATGGGGCTGTGGTGTGGTACTCGGGGACCCTGTGCCGCAGGAAGCGGGGTAGGTGATGGGGATGTGGTGTGGTACTCGGGGACCCGGTACCGCAGGGAGCGGGAGTCGGCGCTGGCCCCAGTGACCCAGCGTGGCCATGGGGGTCACTCTCCCTTTGGAATCAACGCTGACCCCAAGGCCCCAGCTTAGCGCTAGCAGTGTTCTTAGAGGACAGAGAAAAGCGAGGTCCTGACCTGTGGTGACAATTCAAGCCCCTTGAGGGGTCCACAGCCCCCAGTCCTGGCCAGATTCCAACAGATGATCCCTGCCGGCTCCCTGAGCTCCCCCTGCGCTCTCCGCTGAAGGCGCCCCCTTTCGTTTCCTGCCCCCAGCTGTTGGGTGGTGGGGCTGCGCGCTGGGAAAGGCTCCAATGTGCTCTGCCTCCCAGAGGTCTTGGATCCTGGTGGGTGCCCAGATTCCACCTGGCCACGCTAGTAATAATGACTCCACTCCAGGCAGCTTTTTATGGTGGAAATGTTATGATGGAGCCTTAACCGCCCCCTTCCCCTGCCCCTCATTGCTCGGGGAGGACGTTAGAGACCCCAGGGCAGACAAGGAAAGACGAGGCATTTACCATCTAACCTGGGCCAGAATTGCCTTTCTGCCTCCACGCCTGTTCTACAGCGCACTGGGCTGCTTGGCACCCTCCCACCCCAGAGGCAGCTGCATTTCAGGAGCGGGGGCGGGGGAGGGGTGAAGTGATCCCTGTACAGTCTAAAGGGCTCTGGAATCCTTTGGGGTGAAAGGACCCTATTGAAACAGAAGCCACTGTAGCAGCTGGACAGCCGTGCCACATCATGGCCGCCCCTCGCCAAGGCAGTTTTCATGGATGCTAAAGCCAGAAGAAATCACATGGCCTGGCCTCCTGCCTAGCACAGCGCTTCCCCCAAATAATTCCTAGAGCGGAGCTTCAGAAACCCATCCCATTAAAGCCTGCTGATGTAACGCACTCCTTCTCCTTCCCCCGGCCAGAGGACAGCTGTGAGCCAGACACCTGCCAGGACGGCAGCCTCCGTGCAGAAAGCCGGTAAGGGATCAGCCACAAATACAGCCTCCCCTGGAGATACCTGTCTTGAGTTGGGATCTCACCCCTCCACCCCCGCAGGGACACTGAGAGCACAGCCCTGAGCTAACGCCAAGCCAAGGTGCATAGTGGTGCCATGGGCCAACCTGGCAGCGCTTGCCTTTGGAGACCTGGGTTCAAATCCTGCCTTAGCATTGAAGCGAGCCTGGCTTTAGGACTAGTTCCCATGGGTGTGGTTTGCTGCTATTATTTGAAAATGACCCGCCATCGGAGAGGAGGGCTGTCGGTGGGGAGTGAGGGGCGTCAGCAGGGCGGGTAGGGGGAGCCCAGGATGGGTACAGGTGCTCCCGCTCAGGTTTAGGGGCGGAGAAGGAAGGAAGTTGTGACTAGCCGGGGGTGGGGGCAGCAAGTCAGACCCGGGAAGCACTGACAGGGCTGCAGGCCAGGGGCGGGGGAAAGCGTGAGGTGTGAGAGGAGCTTGCAGAGCTTCTGGCTGAAGCCCCATGCAAACACTTCAAGGGAGCAAAGAGCTGTGCAGACACCTGTGATTGCTCTGCAGGGCGCCCCAGAGCCAAGGCCAAGGCCTGCGAAGGGGGAGATAGAAGCCCAGCAGGGAGAGGTGGCCCAGGGGGCACTGGGCTCATGCATGGTGCTGGGCAGAAGTCACAATCATAGCCTGAGCCTTGCAAACCAGAGCAGGAGCCTTTCCCCACCTTCTGGGGGGTGGGACAGGGCAGGATTTCAGTGCTGGAGCCTACCTCCCCTCCCTGAGATTCTCAACCCAGCCTCCCGCTTGCTTCCTCCCTCCACGACAGCTCCTGCCTCCAGGCTGCGGGCTGGCGAGCTGGTGCGGCCGGCCAAGCTGAGCTCACAGCACTTCCCCGAGCCCACGCAGCACATTAAGAACATCATTAAGCAGTGCCAGCGGCCTGCCAGGCTCCCCGAGCCCATCAGGTGAGACCCTGGGCCACCGGGCCAGAACTCAGATCCCTGCCCGAGCCCCTGCAGACATCAGCATCTGATGCTGGGCTGGAGCTCGCAACCGTAAAGTTGCAGGGACAGCAGCTGGGTTGCATTTCCCAGCCATGCTTTAGCAGCAGGTGGGCTGGCTGGGCTCCCAGCAACTATAACAGACTGTTACTGGCTCATGGGGCGACCCCTTTAGCTCAGGGGATGAGGCCTGGTATATATCTCGACCCGCTGGGCCAGAGGCTGCTCACTGACCTGGCTCTGGCTCCTGGCTGTTTGTCCCTGCAGGAAGGAAGGTGGGAAGGTCTTTGTGAAGAAGAAGGATCCCCATGAGGAGGCCATGATGATCTTAAAGGGGCAGATGTCAGCCGCTCCGGTATGAAAGCGCTGGTCTGAAGGCACAGGTGGCCGTTCTCCCTGTCCCTAGCCTGGGGTGCTGCAGGGTGTGGACGGGGAGGGTCCAGCTGCTTGCCTGGAGAATGCAGGGGCGAGGGGTGCTGCTCTGCAGCTGAGCATTCGGAGTCCCCACCAGCTGGGGATCAGAGTCAGGGCTCTGAAGGAGAGCATGATCCCCAGGCTGGCCACTACCTGGGCTGAACCCCAGTGCTAGCTGGCAGGGCACCGCACGGGCCAGTGAGTGTCCCCTGCTCCTGCCTGTAATGAAGGAGAGCCCCCCAGCCCGGGGAAATGGCTCGATCTCTCACAGGAAGTTGGTCTCCACCTCTGTGTTGTAGGTGGCCAAGGAAGCAATAGCCACGGTGAAGCCTGTTACCAGCACCAAGAGGCCTTGGCCACCATCACCAGCCGCCGTTCCCCCACCGACTGCCACAGCCAGGTCTTCTCCAATGTCGCCTCCAGGTAACAGCATGAGAGGCCGAGCAGCTTCATCTCCTCTGGGGTTCAGGGCTGGATGCCGGAGCCTCACGCTGCCCTGCCAGGTGCTGAAGGAGAGGGCAGAGCATGTGGCTTCCCCCAGCCAGGAGCGCATTGCCCTGCGGCCAGGACCCAGCTGGAAAGTGATAGGAAAGCCCTTTGTTACTGGAGGGCTGGGGAAGCTTAGCCCTGGCCTGTCCAAAGGCTGAGATGCGGCTGATTCAGCAGGGACCATCCAAAAGAGAAGCCCTTATCCAGCGCCCTAGCAGCACTGCTGGAAAGGCCATACCCCAGGGTACAGAGGTAACCCAGTAGAGACCTTAGCCCTACAGAGGTCTCACACCGCTGCCACCTGGCTTTCAGAATGGCTCCAAATCTGACCTGTTTGGACCCTCCCACCCCACTCAGTGCTGCTCCCTGCTCCAAATGTTGATCTTTCTTGCATTGATTTGTTCATGCAATTTTGTGGTTTGCAAGTTAGGAAAAGTATCTGGGAATCCTGAGCCCCTGGGTAGGCTTGTGGGTCCCTGGACTATTAAAGAACTCGCCATAAAATGCGACCTGTTAGGCAAACGAGGTGGTAGCTGTACCAACACGAGGCAACCAGACACCATGGTGATGGGTGTGGGGTGAGAAGCTGATGGAGCAGAGAGCAGCAAGTACAAAGGGGCGTCCCAGAGAGCTTAGAGGAACGGTTAACTTGCACCCCATGAAATCTCCTTTGGGCTGCTGGGGATGTAGGTTACACCTGGGCAGACGTCCTTAGTAAGAGAGTTTGGCTGAGAGTCAGGGAGTCTAGTGTTACATGGCCTCGCACGTCATCCGACCCATAGACTTTTGCAGACCCAAGACAGGGAACCTGCAGGGGTTAGCGAATGCAAATCTGCAGGGCCAGGAGGCCCAAGACATGAATCTGGCTGGGCAGCGAGCAGTTGCCATTCTGTCCCAAAGCGCCTCTGCTCAGCAGCGAGGCGAGGGGCTCAGAATATTTTCAGAAGATTAGGTTTTCCTAGCAGTGAGGGCCGTGACGCTAGGCAGGATGAAGTGACTAGAGCTCTTGATCCTCATGATTCAGGGCATATGATCAATCTCCCGATGGGATCAGGAAGCAAAGCTCCTGCCATGAGAGAGTATCACACCGTTTCTGAAGAGGGGTTAAGCCAAGCTCCTGATGGTTTATGGCCATTAAAGATCCCCTGGTATCTTCTGCAAGAGCTGAGCCTGGGATCAAAGGGCAAAATCCTGATGCCCAGACTAAATTCCTCCTTGAGTAATGACATCCTGCTTCACTAAACTTCCGCTGCAATTTCAGCTGGACACGGCCTTCCCCATCACTTCATGTATTAAACAGTTGTGCAGTGTTGCTGTTACACACCTGCTGCCTTCCACCCCAGAGGTAGCTGCATTTCAGTGGTGGGTGAATTCTGAGGTTGTGTTTCTATGTGCTCTTACACAGCTGCCACCTTCCACCCCAGAGGTGGCTGCATTTTAGGTGAACCAATCCTTGCATATCCTCTTAACTCTGTAAGGTGCGTTGAGATCCTTCAGGATAAAAGATGCACTATAAACACAAGAGAGCGTTAGTCAGGGCACAATGTGGAGCAGGGGAGAAGGAGCAGGCTGGGTGGTATCCCCGCACCAATACATACCAGACCCCATGGGGGAAGAAACTTGTAGGCTTTGCCACACATGTAGCTGCACTGATACCAGCCCCTAGTGGAAGGCTGGTGCAGTGGTTAGTGCACTGGCCAAGAACTCAGGAAACCCTGGTTCAGTTTCCTACTCTGCTACAGACTTCCTGTGTGTGACCTTGGATAAGTCACTTTAGTCTTTCTTTGCTTTCATTCCCCCTGTGGTGACCATTGCACTGCCCTGCCCCCCAGGAGGTTGTGAGGAGAAATACACTGAAAGCTGCGAGTTGCCCAGATACTATGGGGAAGGGGGCAGGTTAAGTAGCTTGGATAGATAGCATAGGCCTGATTTCCCTGGTGAGTAGGAAATGGCTGTGGCCCAGCTAATGGGCTGTCCCCTGCATCCACAGTAACCAGCTGCCAGTGAGCACTCTGCCCTCAATCTCTTTTAGGGAGAGTGGTCACTTTGGATGAGCTATTACCAGCAGGAGAGTGAGTTTGTGTGTGTATGGGGGTGGGGGGGTGAGAAAACCTGGATTTGTGCTGGAAATGGCCCACCTTGATTATCATGCACATTGTAGGGAGAGTGGTCGCTTTGGATGAGCTATTACCAGCAGGAGAGTGAGTTTGTGTGTGTGGTTTTTGGAGGGGGGTGGGGGGGTGAGAAAACCTGGATTTGTGCTGGAAATGGCCCACCTTGATTATCATACACATTTTAAAGAGAGTGGTCACTTTGGATGGGCTATTACCAGCAGGAGACTGAGTTTGTGGGGGGGGGGGGGCGGAGGGTGAGAAAACCTGGATTTGTGCTGGAAATGGCCCAACTTGATGATCTCTTTAGATAAGCTATTACCAGCAGGAGAGTGGGGTGGGAGGAGGTATTGTTTCATGGTCTCTGTGTATATAATGTCTTCTGCAGTTTCCACAGTATGCATCCGATGAAGTGAGCTGTAGCTCACGAAAGCTCATGCTCAAATAAATTGGTTAGTCTCTAAGGTGCCACAAGTCCTCCTTTTCTTTTTTCAGTCACAGTCTCCCGGGAGCTCCCAGCGGAGCAGGAGCAGGTCCAGACGCAGCTGCACCGGTGCTGCAGTGAGGAGTTCTACGCCTACCGCAACGTGTCCTGGAAAATATACATCAGGAAAGAGGTACATAGCTCCACCCAGCACCCTCCTCCCTCTCCCATCAGACCCACAGGGCCAGTGGCCAGACCCTGAGCCCCTAAGAGCTGTCCTGAAAAACTCCTGCTTATCTGTTCCTGTGAAGGAACAGTGCCATCTAGTGGTTGTTAAGGCTACTGAGGTGAACGTGCTCCCTAGGAGGAGAAAGTGCATTTCAGGGTCTGTTTTCTCCTAAGGAACTTATGTTCCGAACAGATCCGGCCCCCGTGGGCTTCTTTAGAAGGGGAGGGGAGCTTGCAAGGCTGCGATACTGAGTGAAAGAGAGTATAGAGGTGTTACTGTAGATATGGCAGGAGAGCCCAGAGCAGAAGGGCTCACTGCCTACTGTGGGAGGGGGTGGTGTTAACATGAGTGGTATTACTATGATTTATGAATGATTTGTTATTGTGGTAGCTCCCAGAGGTTCCAGTCAGGGATCAGGTCCCCACTGTACTAGAGGCCATCTGTATCACCTCCCAGGCAGGCCCATTACTGCCTCTCAGATGTTCTGAATAAGTGAAACTTTCCCTCAAAGGGACATGGTCAGGGAGTTTAGGCCTAACATTTAAGTTCTTTATTAAAATAAAAAAGATCCACAGTCCTGCCCTCCCTCCCCCCGTGTTATTAACAGAAAAAGTTTTGTGCATCTTCCTGTCTTTAACTGCAGTATTCACTGATGCATGCCCTGGTAAGTGAATAGAAGTGAAATTGACTTGTCTTGAGGTCACCTTTTCAAAAGTGCCTAAAAGACTTGAGAGCCTAAGTCCCGTTTTCCAAAGTGGCCCAGGCACTTCAGACTTGATGGGACTTAGGCGCTAAGTTACACAGGCGCTTTGAAAAGCTCACCCAAAGTTCCTGTCCTCCACTGAGTGTAATGGAGGAATGAAATAAAGGGCCGAAGCAATGAAAAGTCCACTTGATTTTAAAAATCCTTTCGGGTTCACTGATCTCAGCAGCTAGTAACACAGACTGAGGGAATTGTTCACTAATAGATCCTTCCACACCTGACCATGCCCCTCTGATCTCTTTCCTCGCAGGTGTTCTATCCAAAGGATAACTTCAACAACCCCTTGCTGCTGGATCTCATTTTCAGACAGGTGAGGTTTCCAGGCTCCAGATACAGAGCTTTTCCTGCTGTAGAGTTATCTGTATTAGAAGAGTGGAAGGATAGTTTCCGGCTTAAAGTCAAGGGCTGGGAGTCAGGACGCCTGGGTTCTGTTCCTGGCTAGGTCACAAACTCGCCGTGTGAACCTGAGCGAACCAGCTCCTCTCCTTGCCTCCCTCTCCCCATATGTACAGCAAGGATAGTTCCCCACAGCGGGGTTGTGAGGGCTAAGAACGTTTGGAAAATGCCTTGAGATCCTCAGCAGGGAGCCCTTGAGAAAGTCAGAGGATTATCAGCTCAGTCTGCTTGCATTCCCTCAAAGTCTGGGCAGGCTATAGGCATGCTGGGGAGTGATGGGTTCAGCCAGACCCTGGGGTAGGAGGAACCCAGAACCATAGATGTGCAAGGTGACTTCGGTTTCCCAGTCTGTCCCCCTGCAGGAAATCCTCCCCTTACTCAGCAACGCCCCTGGGAGCCAGCAGCTTTCCCGCCTTGTTTCAAGCACAGGCCACACAAGCTGTAGTGGCTCAGAACTACTTATTCCCTTGCCTAGGGCTGGGTCTTATTCACAAAAGGAATGTACAATCCAGCCCATGCCTTGTCCCCAGGCTGGGTTGCTCCCGAGGTTCCTCCTTGAGGACTGCTCAGCCCACACCCTAGGTCCTCTGTAAAGAGCCACTCCCACCTCCATTATTCAGGACCCACTGAACCTTTTCCCAGCAGGATTGACACTGGCTGGGCAGGAGCATGATGGGAGTGGTGTGTTTCAGGCAAACTGTCCTTTGCAGCCAATTCAGCAGCAGCATTGAGAGGCTTCAGGGCGGCTGGGCCAGTGTTCCTGACCCCTGCACTGTGGCAGGCAATGGGTGTGGGATGGGGCATACAGGGAGGAGTCAGTGAGGCTGCATCAGGGACACCAAGGCCTCGGCCCTGAAGCTCCTAACCTCAGCATGGTGGGTTCCCCCCTCAGATCTTCCACGACACACTCTCCGACGCCTGCCTCAGGATCACCCCGGAGGAACGGCTGCGCATGAAATCTCTCTTCGGTAACACCCAGCCCTGCCCACTGAGTCCTGCTTCACGCCAAGGGGCTGGCCTCCCCGCCGCTGTGGGGGCTGGCCTCCTCTCTCCAGCCCGATCTCCCTGCGCTTCCTTGGGGCAGGAGATGTCTAGTGCGTAGGGCAAAGCTGCCCTCCTGGAAGGTGATGGGAGGTTTGCCATCGGGTGCAGTGAGGCCCGGCAGCCTGTCACTTCTTGGGCCAGGGTTTAGTCTGAGCTGGGATTCGAATGTCACAAGTTCTGCTTGTGCTTGGCCTGCCCCGGGCATTAGGGGGTCCCCCAGCCCCCGTGGGAAGGTTCGGTCCCCGGCAGCGATAGGGAGCTGTCTTCTTGCGCGCTGGTGAGATACGCCTGCTTTGTCCCATGCCGTGGGGCTGTATGCAGCAGGGGGCAGAGCTCACCCCCCCTGTGGGGAAGTCCTTGTTCTCCAGCTGGACCCCCATGCCCAGATTCCCTTGCCCCAGCAGCAGATCCGCTTTGGCCGAGGAGGGGGAGCCAGCACCTGACATCTCTTTCTGGGGCGGGGGGGTGGTGTGTGTTTCTCACCACAGCGAAAAACAAGCTGGATTCGTTCAGCCCAGCGGCCGACGACAGCATTAAGAAGGAGATTGTGATCGCGGCCCGGGACAGCTGGGAGGTTTACTTCTCACGCCTCTTCCCCGCCACGGTAAGGGCCTGCCCCACACCCACAGAAGGAAGCATGGGGATAGTCCAGGGGCTGGGACAGGTCTCAGCAGCAGACCCTGATGTACTAAGGTCTGATGCCCCTGCTGCCTGTAGCCGCTGCTCTGTGCTGCCAGGGGTTGCAAACCTCGTACTGGGGACTGTCAGATCGTCCACAGGCCTGAGGCCATTGTGGATTTAGAGACAGGCCCCAGGAAGAATCCAAGGGCCAGAATTGTCAGTGCTCCTGGGCTCCTTGGGGTGAATCGGGCTGGTTCTGAGTCCCTGCATTTCCACAGTGGAAGGTCTCTGCCCAGCACTGCGGGGACTCATCGCTGCAAGGGGTGGGTGCTGACGTTCATTGCTTTGTCTTGTACCCTCTTTCCTGTTATCCCCAGGGCAGCGTTGGCACAGGTGTGCAGATCCTGGCAGTGTCCCACACGGGGATTAAACTGCTGCGGCTGGTGAAGGGCACCAACGTGCCTGGGGAGCAGCTGCGCGTGCTGCGGGGCTACAGGTAAGGCCAGGGCCAGCCGGCCCCGCTAGGGCTGGGACTCCTGCGGCTCTCAGGGAGGGGACGCGTGCAGAGGAGCCAGCCCTGTGTGCACCTGTGGAGAAGGACTGGCATGTGGCTGCCAGCACCCCAGGGTGCTGGAGGGTCAGGCTGGGCACATGCTGCCCGGCCTTGGCATTGGTACTGTCACACCATGCCTGTGGCTCAGGCAATGCCAGCCTCCAGCCCAGGGCCTGGCGGGTCTTTGCCAATGAACAGCGGATGCAGGGTTGAAGTAATTGCTTTAATGGATTCAGTTAGACAGAGGGCCACTTTCCTGTGCAGATCCGGCCTGCGAGCTCCCTTTGCAAAGTGCTGTGAGCAGTAACACACACACGCAACCATATACACACACACACACAACCATATGCACACATGCACACACACAACCATACACACACACACACACCTGTATACACAGACACAACCATATACGCACACATGGATGCACATAGAGACACAAATGCATATAGACACAGACACGCACCTCTGTACACACCTATATACACACGAGCCCACAGACACCTGCCTGTGTACACACCAACGCACGCCTACCGACCCAGTAGGTCAGTGCCTATGGTGCTTTGGGTTCCCCAGGAGGAGAGGCTTCAAGAGGCCAAAGTATGATTTATCCTTTCCTGTATACAGTCCCGGTGGGCATCCACTGCTCACTTCCAGTGATGGAGTAAAGCACGGCCCCTAGGCCCCCCAGCTCTGCCCCTCACTCCCCATGGAGCTCAGCCCTACGAGCCAGGACTCCTGACTCCTTGTCCCCACTTAGCTCCATCCAAGTCCATGGCAAACAGCCAGAGCCCAGTGGCTGGAGAGCATGGTGCATGGGAGACGCGTGCGGTGTCTTAGTTCTGCCCTTGGTCTGGCGGGAAGACCAGTCCCCCCCTCACCACTCTGCCCAGCCCTCTGGCTTTCTCAGCTGTGCTCTCCTATCCTGTTCTTTAACCCTGTCCTTCCCCCCACTCCCAGCTACACCGATATCCTGTTCGTGACCATCCCCTCCAACCACATGCTGGAGTTCAACCTGACCAACGAGAAGCTGATCCTCTTCTCCCCCAAAGCCCCGCAAGTGAAGGCCATGATCGACTATTTCATCACAGAGCTCAAGAAGGTCAGAGGCCGACCATGGGAATGGAGCCAATATGGCCTCTCTTGGCATCTCCTGCACCTGGTCCATGGGGCGGGGTCCCCAGCATACACACGCTATGGGATACTGCCCTATCCCTCTCCCTGCTCACCTTTGCCTTAGAAAAGCTCAAGCTTTTATACTCCTGCCTTGGTGCCAATGAGAGCCCCCTGGTTTGGCTGCCAGCGTGAATCAGCCGGGGAGCTCTACACCTCCATACGGAGCCCCAGAACCAATCACCTGGCCAGAGTTGTATACAAGTGTGTTCAGCTAGGGGTAGTGTGTATGTGTGGCGGGGTGGGGTATACTCTGAGCAGGCTTTGTGTGTGTTTGATTGTGCAGTTATACTCTGAGCGCAGGATGTGTCGTGTGGTTGTGTTCTGAGTGTGAGCGGCGTGTTGGATATATGAGTGTATTCCACGTGTGTGCGCACGCGGCCCCCTGCAGCAGCACCAAACCCGGCCCCTCTCCCATGCTCCAGGACTCGCAGTATGTGGTTGCCGTGAAGAGCTACGTTACAGGTGACAGGAGCCTGTTGAGCTTCCACAAGGGGGACATCATCCACCTGCAGCCGCTGGAGCAGCCTGAGAGAGGTGAGCAGCCCGGGACGTTCATGGTGCTGCTGGCACTCTCTGCTGGGAGCCACCTCGGGGGCGTCACAGGGCAGTTTGCGAAGGAGAGGACAGGGGCATCTTAGCCGGGGCCCCATTCCCCTGCATGGGCGCAATGAGCTGAATGGGACCACCCAGCCCTGTCCTTCTGGGCTTATACCCTCCTGGGCCACCCACCCCCTATAGCATGTATCTGTCTGTGAGTGACACCTGCTCCCCCTGGGGTGCCACTCCGCAGCCCCTCCACTGGGGTGCACAAGGGGAACGCTGCCAGCCGCCTGCCCCAGGGAGCAGAGTGCTGCCCGGATCCCTCCCCAGCCCTGATCTCCGTTGGGCAGTGTGGGGGGATGGAGCTGGGTGGGTGGGTGAACTTAGCCCTGCCGCGGTGCCCTGAGGCTGTCCCCTCCCCACAGACCACTGGCACGGATGTGTGGTCCGCAAGAAGGTGACGTACCTGGAAGAGCTGAAGAGGGGCACCCAGGACTTTGGTGGGTGGCTCTGGAGTGTTGTGTTGTGCTGTCCCTGCATGAGCCCTGTCCCCCTGCACACATTCTCCTGCGGGGCTCTCTCCTCTGGAGCCAGCTCGCCCCTCCCGTCTGACGAAGCATGTACTCTCCAGCTCACCCAAGGCGATGAATCCCAGGGACCCCACTGCGGCCCACATGGCCAGACCTCATTCCACTGCCCGGGGCTGGATCAAAGCACCAGGTCAGGGCGTGTAGCCCTATAAAATATCCTCCAGGCACTTCCTGGCCTGCCCCTTTCTGTCACTGTAACACACTGATGTAACGTGTTGTGCCCCCCTCTAGGGGCCAGTCCATATACAGGACAAGTGCCTACTATCGCTACCAGCGAACGGAGTTCTTGCTTTAGCCTGAGCTGTAGAAGCCTGTGCTTGTGGCACTGATGGTCCATTTCCCATGCACAGGCCTAAGTGCACTGTCAGATTTCCAGCCGCTCCTCTAGTTGTCTCTGTGCCAGGGCTCTGGCAAGAGACTGGGGAAGCTGGACCCCTGGTGTATCCACCAAAGAGAAACGGAGCTCCCCAGGAGAGCTCTGTCTGCCTGACGTGCACATTCCAGGCCCTGAGAGACCCATTTGCACCAGCTCTCCGTGGGCATTAGCCTGAGCAGAGCGCACTCGCCCAGATGCTCATGGGGAGTGGATGGGAAGGGGCGCGAGTGCATCCGGAGAGGAGGTCGTTATGCCATCCCAGGGGCGGTTTTGTGTGGGACATGTGGCTCCAGCGGTTGGCACTCTAGGGGGCAGGCTGAATGCCGGGCATGGGGGTTATTTGTCCAACAGCCTCCAGACCCTGTGTGCGGAGAAGCCATTGTAGAACTGGCTCGAGTCCTAACAGCCCCATTGGCCATGCTGTCAATAACAGCCCACAACTATAACCCCACTGCTTCCCCTACTGGCCTCCTCCATGCATGGCCCGCTCCTGTATCTGATTTGTGCATGTAATCCTGGTCCCTAGCCTCTTCAGTCTCTGGGGGGAAGCTCTAGCTAACCCCATGAGAGCAATAGGCTGCTGCATGCAGGATGGGATGGTATATGCAGTGTGCATGGTCCCCAGACCCCTTGTTTAAGAGTGCTGTGGAAGAGCAAACCTGTGGGTCTAAATACCAGCCATTCCCAGTCAAACGCTGCGGCTGGATTTTCCAAGGGGGCTGGCAGTGATTCTGCCTGCTGAGGTACGGAGAATCAAATCTCGTGCTTCAGGACAGGTCTCTGCAGAGGTCAGGAAGGAACCTTCCTTCCCCTCCCTGAACGCAGTCACAGCTCTGGCTATGTGATGTGTCTTTATGAGGAATGTGCACTTCCCTAGCAAGCCCCAGGCATTGGCCACTGCTGCAGGCAGATGCTGGATTTAAGAGATGACATGTCTGATCTAGGGCAGTAGGGCGTGGGGTGCTGGTTTGAATGAACAGGTCTAAAATGGAAGAGGAGGGAGGCAGGACCGATAGCCGGGCCTGATGCGGCAGAGAGGGGCATATGGGGCTGGATGGACCGATAACCGGGCCCGGCACAGCAGGGAGGAGCATATGGGGCTGGCTGAAGCGTGTGTCTCAGCCCTAGGCTGTTAATGACATGTCCTGGTGCAGGGTGGAAATTCGGTGCCATCCACGGGAGGTCGGGGCGCTTCCCCGCCGAGTACGTCCAGCCCGTGGCAGCCCCAGATTTTATCCACCTGCCAGCGGACAGGAAAGAGGAGCCCAAGAACAAGCAGGGCAAGGTGGCGGCCTTGGCAGCCGTGGCAGTGGCCGTGGCCTCCACGGCTGTGGCTCAGGAACTGGACAGGAAGATCGAGGTGAGGGATTATCCCCAAGGGTCCCTTTGTAACCTTTGCAGTGCTGGAAACTGGGAGCTCTCAGAGGGCTGGGGTGGGCAGGGGGTTTGGTTGGGGTGGGTGGTGGGGAGGGCCTGGCTGGCTAAGCAGCTGGGTAGGAGGCTAACTGGGGAGGGAGACATTGCAGCTGGCATAGGGTGGGGCACTGATCAGTAGACACCAGGAGGGTGCAGCCGCAGGGTCTGTCTGTAGCTCATCTGAGATTAATGGCTCTAGGACCCATGGAGTCGTAAGCTGGTGGCACAGGTGCGCTTTGCACCCCCTGCATCCCATGGTCCCCCTCTCCCCAGGTGTCCCCCGCAGGCAGTGACTATGCAGAGAGCATGGAGGAGTATGGTGGTGAGCTTCCTGGGGACAGTGCCCTGCAGGGCAGGCAGTTCCACATGCTGGAGTTTGCCAAGAAGCATTTCCGGGAGGCGCAGAGGATGAAGACGTGAGTGCTGGCCGAGGGGAGGGGAGTGACCTTTAACCTTCCAGCCTCCAGTGACCCTATGTGCAATGAGTTTGGTGGGGCTCAGCACAGTTCCCAGTGGGACAGTAGCCACGTTGCAGAAAGCACCATCCCACGTGGCACTAAGTGACCCCTGGTTGGCATCCTGGGGCTGACTGCCCCGCTGCGGAGCTAAGGTCAGTGCCCAGCCCAAGGGTTGCCCACAGAGGCAGCATACAGAGAAGGAAAGCTCAGTGGTTTGAGCATTGGCCTGCTAAACCCAGGGTTGTGAGTTCAATCCTTGAGGGGGCCATTTAGGGATCTGGGGCAAAAATTGGGGATTGGTCCTGCTTTGATCAGGGGGTTGGACTAGATGACCTTCTGAGGTCCCTTCCAACTCTGATATTCTGTGTGATTCTGTGTGAAAGGCCTGGTAGTACTCGAGAGCGACCTCTCTGGCTGATTACGGAACTGCACTGATGGGCTTTCCGGTCAGTCCAGCTGCACACCTGGCTCTGTTCCTCGCACAGCCTCCTGTCTGCGCTTGCGTTGTCATTGGCCGGTGTGGGAGCTGCAGCCATCAGTCTTAGCATTTGCATGTCCGCTGGGGTAGTTCTGCTGACCAGACCCTCATTTGGGAGCCCGCAGTTTGTGGCGGGTGCCAGAACGCCAGGCACGGATTTTGCAATTGCAACAGCAAAGGGGAGGCTGTTCTTGGGCCCACAGCTCCTATCCGTGGGGGAGGCGGATGTGCTGACTCCCGGGGGATCCCAGCTCATGCCCAGAGAGGGACCTGTCATTCTCTTTCTGCGATTTGTTCCAGGGATTCCTGCAAGCACAAATCCCGGAAAGGGAAGGACTCGCCAGACGTAGCGGAGATGCTGAAATTCACCAAGGTAATGGGGATCGCCTAGCTTGCTGTGCATGCTCTTTGCTGGCCAGGCTGTGCCTGCTGGTAGCCTCACCACCTGCCGATTTCAGGCTGTTGCCCCCGCCCTTTGCGTTAGGGCAGCCCCTGCTGGAAAGGGCATGTGGCCTGCTGGCCCTCTTACTGCCCTCCACATGGAGCCGACCCAGAGAGGGGTCCGGGCTGGCTCAGGGGCTTGCTAAAGTGTTAGAGCAGGGGTGGGCAAATTTTTTGGCCCGAGGGCCACATCGGGGTTGCAAAACTCTATGGAGGGTCGGGTAGGGAAGGCTGTGCCTCCCCAAACAGCCTGGCCCCCACCCCCTATATGCCCCCTTCCACTTCCCGCCCCCTGACTGCCCCCCTCAGAACCTCCGACCCAAGCCAGAAGGTCAGGCTGAACCGGATCTGGGCTCAATGGAGGAGTCTGGCCTCCAGCAGTGTCCGATATGGTCAGGATCGATTTCCCCAGGCAGGTGCAGTGAGGGAGACGTACCATACCTCCCTGTGCCTCTCGGGCTAGGCTCTTCGCTCCGTGCCCTTCTGGCAGGGCCACTGCCTGACGTGGAACTGAGCACCTTCAGCCTGCCCCTCCCCCCATGCCAGGGGCTCTGTGCACCCTCATTCTTCCTGTCCCCCCATTTTCCCTTCCCCCTCCATCCTAGGGCCCCACAGTCTCCTCTCTGCCAGGGGCTGTGTGTGTCCCCCCTTTCTCCCCACCCTTCTTTCCACCTGGGAGGCCAGTCATTGGAGTGTCACCCTGCGGCGCTCTCGGGAGGATGGGCAGAGAGGAACGGGGCGTTACTAGGTGCGGATAGGTGCCATCAGCCGGTTGGTTGATCTCCAGTGGCAGTGAGGGGCTGGAGGCTGTGGCTCTGCTAAACCGATGGCAGGGGCTCGGCGCTCGCGGGCTCACTGAGCGTAGGGCCTGGCAAGCTCAGCCGCTAAGCCCACCGGCGTTCCACGCGGGTACCTGACGCGCGCTCTGCTTCTGCTCTCCCCGGCCAGTGCCCGCTCCAGGAGTCGCTGATCGAATTCACTGACAGCTGCCTGAACAGAGCCGCAGCCGAGGCCTTCCAAGGTGCATGGGAGGCACTGCGTCTCCCCGGGGTGCTTGGGGGAGAGGGCACTGGGCTGCCTCCAGGCCACGGTGGGAGGGGCCCTGGTACTGGGCCGGTTCATTTCCCCTGCCCTGTCATAGAATCATAGAATCTCAGGGTTGGACGGGACCTCAGGAGGTCATCTAGTCCCACCCCCTGCTCAAAGCAGGACCAATCCCCAATTTTTACCCCAGATCCCTAAATGCCCCCCTCAAGGATTGAACTCACAACCCTGGGTTTAGCAGGCCAATGCTCAAACCACTGAGCGATCCCTCCCTCCCCTTGTGGTGTTTAACCCCACAGAGGCAGGGTTCATTCCTGCCCTGGATCTCCGCGTGTTGGCCGCTCAGGGGCATCTGAGACCAACGTGCCCAGCAGGGGGCAGCCTTCTTGTGCCGTTGCCTGTTTCGTGGGACACCCTAAAGCCTTGGGTTTGTTAGTGAGAGTCCAGCTGAAAACTCAGCCACTTTTGAACCACCCCAACCCCTGTGAGTCTGCCCGCCCCTGCCCCCCACATGGGGTACCGTGGCCTGCCCACCGCCATCCTCTGCCCCACATGGGGCAGGGGCAGTGAACCTCAAAGACCTCACCCCAAGGTGGGGCATTGGAATCTCTGCTGCCCCTACTCAGGAGTGGGCTGAAGCTGGCCCTTGGGCCCAGATCTAGCAGTTTCTGTGGGGCTGGCAACCAGTGAGTCAACGAGAAACCAAGAGTTCAAGAGCCAGCACTCCAGGAGGCCCCTGGGACTGGGGCTGGGGAGGGAGAGCCTGCTGGAAGGGAGACAGGAGGTTTGGTGGCTCTGAGTCTCATTTGGCCATCCTCCTCCCCCTCCAATGTGGGGGCACGGTGAACCCCTCAGCCCCTCCTCCCATCTGGGGCACTGTGACCTGCTCTCCTCCGGGTCCCATGACCCACCCGGTGGGTCTGGAACTGGGAGAGCCACCCCCCTGCTCAGGGCGAGGGGAGGCAGAGCCTGTCACCATGCGTTGGTTTGTCATCCCCAGCCGTGATGAAGTTCATGGGCGACTGGCCTCTCAAGGGGCAGACAGAGCTGGAAGTCGTCTACGCTGTGCTCAAGGTACCTCCCTCCCTGGGGAGCAGAGCAGGATCCCCGGGGGGCACTCTGGGTCAGTGGGGTGGGCCCTGCCCCGCAGCCCTGGGGCCAATGGTGGGTAGCGAGGGCAGCGCTCGGCTCGTGAACCTGCCTGCAGCTCCCAGCCCCGGAGCCCCTACCCCACAGTCTCCAGCCCAGCGGGGAGGAGGCTGAAGGTGGAAGCAGATGGCTGCATTTTGGCCAGCATGGGAACAAGCCACGTGGCCCTGGAGAGGCCCCAGGAGCAGGCTGCAAACTGCACCCCTCTGACATACCAGCGGGGGGCAGGGATGGTGGCCGGCACGGCGGGCAAGTGGGTACAGCTGGAGGGGCAGGGGGCTCCCCAGCTCCAGGGTAGTGATGACCACTGGTGCCTTTCTGTCTCCAGCTGTGCGCTGACCACGAAGTCATGAGGGATGAAGTGTATTGCCAGATCATAAAGCAGACCACGGACAACACGAGCCCCAAGATGTGAGTGAGTCCCTCCCCTTCCCGTGGCGTGGGGCCCCGGGCTGGCCTCCCAGTGCGGCGGCTCCTTCCTGCTCTTCCCCTGCCTGGCCAGCTGGCCTGGGCTGTGTGGCCTCCCCAGTGGGGAGTCTGTGGGGAGAATCCCAGTCGTCGGGAGCCTCCCACGTCCCCAGTCTGGTTGGGACTGGCTGATCCTGTCACTGCGTCACGATGGGCCTAGATGGGCCAATCTGGCCCCTGCCATCCTAGCCACCCTGGCAGCTGGGAGAGCCTTCCTTGGCCATTGGAGTTCCCACCATGCCACCCCCTTCCATGTTACAGCACCACTCCGGGTCCCTGCTCTCTCCCCTTCCCCTCGGCTCTCCTCCTCCTTCGCGTCTCCTTTTTATTCCTCCAGTTCCTCTTCCTCACCTTCTCCTTCTCTCCCCACATACCAAAGCTGATTGGGCAGGGTCCCACACACCTGACCGGCGGCCTGGCGTGGAAGGGGCTAAGGGGCACAGGTTCCAGGCCTGTCCCATAGACTTTCTGGGGCCTAAGCTTTGCAGAGCAGGCTGGGCCTCTCCCACTCTGAGACCTCTTTCCCCGCCCCGTGGCTTGGACAGGGACAGCTGTCAGAAGGGATGGAGGCTGCTCTACATCCTGACCGCCTACTACAAGTGCTCCGAGGTCCTGAAGCCCTGTCTGCTATGGCACCTCCAGGAGACCTGCAGGAGCCCTGGGGCGCAGTTCCAAGGTAGGATTCTTGTTCTGCAAAGCTGGGAACCCCAACCTGGACTGGCATGGGGGCCTCTTTCTCATCAGCTCTTACCTGTATTTGATCCTCTTCCATCCTCTCCTCCTTATTAGGACATTTATAGATCCTCTCCTAAGGGATGTCCGAACCACGTGCTCCTGTCGACTTTCCCCCAGCCCTTAGTTTAAAAACTGCTCTATGATCTTTTTAATGTTAAGCACCAACAATCTGGTTCCATTTTGGCTTAGGTGGAGACCAGCCTTCCTGTATAGGCTCCCCGTTTCCCAAAAGTGTCCCCAGTTCCTAATAAATCTAAACCCCTCCTCCCTTCACCATCGTCTCATCCACACGTTGAGACCCTGCCGTTCTGGCTCTCTAACTGGCCCTGCGCATGGAACTGGGAGCGTTTCAGAGAATGCTACCATGGAGGTCCTGGACTTCAATCTCTTACCTAGCAACCAAAATTTGGCCTCCAGGACCTCTCTCCTATCCTTCCCTATGTCATTGGTACCTACATCAAGGTACCTCCCTCCCTGGGGAGCAGAGCAGGACCCCCGGCGCGGTGCTCTGGGTCAGCAGGGTGGGCCCTGCCCCTTAGCCCCAGGGCGGGTGGTGGATAGTGAGGGCAATGCTCGGCCTGCAGCTCCCAGCCCCTGAGCTCTGACCCTGCAGTCTCCAGCTAAGCTGGGAGAAGGCTGAAGGTGAAGGTCAGGTATCATCACTCCCCTTTATGTACAGGGAAGGTGAGCTACAGACCAGGGGAGCAATTCGCCCATGGGCACACCGGGATTTCTAGGCTCCGTTAGATCACCCTGCCACCATGCCCTGGGCCCCACCCGCTCCCTGGTTGTGCCAACATGTGTGTTTGACCCCAGGCCTGCTCCTGGAAACCATCAGGCCAGCTCTTGTGTGCCAAGGCTCGGTGTAAACCCTGCGCCATGCTGTTGCCCAGCCCCTCTGCGGGACGTCATGAGCTCGGCTGCTGTCCCAGCCAGGGTGACACTGCATGGAATATGCTCCGTCACCACATCAGTTTCCATAGCAGCCAACATGCTTCAAAGGAGCAGGGCAGGCACTTAATGCACACTGGAGCCAGGCGCCTGCAAAATGGAGAGAGAAGTGGAAGCAGGACAAAGCCAACAGAATCACAGGGACGGACGGGGCGTGGCAGGGATGTTCACTGAGCCCCTTTCCGCTGAACAGCAGAGACGAGGGGCGGGGGCGGAGATCACTTAGCGCCAGAGGGTTAGAGGGACCCTGCAGGCTCAGCCATGTACAAGGCCAAACCTGAGGGCTCGGGACTCTGGAATTCCAGACCCAGCTCTGACTCCAAACTCCCCGTCGACCTTGGGCAAGTCACGTCCCCTCCCCGTGCCTCAGTTTCCACCTTGGCGAGAGGGAGATCTCAGGCTGGCTTCTCTTATTCAATCACTTGGATCACGGTGGCCCGCACAGTGCAGCAGATGCTGCCCCCCCCCCCCAGTCCTATTGCTGCCTCGGGAACGAGTCTTAACGCTAATTTGCGTAGTGCTGTAAGTGCCAGACCAAAAGCTGCACCTGCCGTTGCCTGGGTGTGACCAAGGAGCCTTGCTGAAGAGCAGGTTCAGGCTGATCCCTGGGACGGGCGGGGGCAAGGGATCGCGGCGTTTGTCCAGCCCAGAGGAGCGGGGCTGCGAGAATGGGGAGTTAGCAGCATTTACACCCAGCCTCAGAAATCCTGGCAGCTCCCTGTGTGGAAACAGCGCCAGGAGGGCTTGCCCACGCCTGTCCTAGAGCCGTTAATAAATGGCAGCGCTGCCCATCTGTGAAGCCTTTATCAGCCAGCCCGTGATTCCCAGCCCTGCCACCACTTATTTCCTCCGTAAATGCTCCAGGCTTACAGCTGTTTAAATGGCTCTCGGGGTGGAGAACTGTCTGCAGTGATCGATTAACCCAGCCTGGCCCCCCGCCAGACCCACTTCAGCTGTCGTTAATGGGACCTCCTCCCACAGGCTCTGCATCCAGGAGCGGCTGGGAGGGCAGGGCCCACTGGCACCAGGGCGAGGATGGAGACCGATCACGCCCTGATCCAAACCTGTTCTATGGAGCAGTGCAGGCAGCGCTGCTGGACTAGCTGGCTGCGCGGCCTATAGGGCAGGGGCTGTCTGTCATTATATGCGTGTGTACAGCTCCTAGCACAATGGGGCCCGACCACTAGAGTGCAATCCTAGTCCGAGCACCAGAGCCTCTGCCATGCCGGAGGCAACATGCCAGGCAAATAGGGGCGGGGAAGCGGGAAAAAGTGGGGATGGGAAATGAAATAAAAAGGGCTATCAAGTAATTAATCGTGTGATTAATCGCACTGTTAAACATTAATAGAATACCATTTATTTAACGTTTTTGGGATGTTTTCTACATTTTCAAATATATTGATTTCAGTTACAAGGCAGAATACAAAGTGTACCATGCTCACTATGTTTATTTTTGCTTATACGTATTTGCACCAACAGAATACAACACAGAATACAATATATATGAAAATGTAGAAAAACTGCAATTAATTGCGATTAATTTTTTTGAGTTAATCACGTGAGTGAACCGCGGTTAATCAACAGCCCTAGAAATAAACGTAACCTTCAATTACAGATAGGTGCTGTGATACCCCCGCCCCCCTCCCCCAACACCTCATGATTTGGGGTTTGTTTCCCCTCTGAACCAGACCTGAATTTCATTGTTAGCCACTGTCTTTGTAGTGAGCCAAAGCCACGCTCTGGCTCTGGCCTGCTTCCCCTGGTTTGGGGAGGTGGAGGCCTGGAACCTCACGCTGTGCCTCGGGCCCGTCTCTGCTTTGACGGGGCGCTGGTGTCCATATCTTTAAGGGATCGCAAAGGCCTGCGAGCAGAACCTCAGGAAGACCTTCCAGTTTGGCGGCCGGCGCGAATTTCCCAGCAGCATGGAGCTCAAAGCCATGGTGGTGAGTCCAAGCTCACACAGGGCACTGCAATGGTGGCACCAGGTGGGCATGTGGGGAGAATGCTCTCTGAGAGGCTGGACTGGGTTGCAAACAGCTCACCTAGGGGATGGCATGGGACTGTATCCCTTGAGCTCTCTGGGCCTACAAAGCTGGGTTCCTCCGGGCACTCCACTTTCCGGGCCCCCACACGGTTTATCTGTGCCTTGTTTCCAGCTGGGAGGGCTAGAATGGGGCTGGGCAGGCGGCTACAACTGTGAGTGGCTGCAGCCAGCGTGTGTAACCCCTGTGATGTCTATGGTATGGCTGTGGGGAGGAGAACAGAGCCCTTTCCGTGGTGGCAAGGGCTGAAATGGACAGGAACTTGCAAGGATGGGGATGTTATAGGCCTGATTTCCCTCCCCCATTGGCTGCAGCCAGAGCTGGAGGAGCTCAGCACTTCTGCAGATCAGGCCACAGTTTTACCAAGGGGCTGGTGACTCAAGAGGCCTGGAGGGAGCCTGTTTATCAGGAAGCGCTGGGCACCTGCCCTCTGGAAATGGGGCCCGGGAACAGAGGGGCCCAGGCTCATGCGTCACTTTTGCAAATGGTGGGCTTGCGAGTGCATTCTGAAGATGGCTTCCCGCCTCCTTGAGATGCTGCTGGTGTCTAACCGAGTGGTGTGAGCCCCACCTCGCGGCACAGGGCAGGAAAAAAGGGGGGTGCTGAAAACGCCTGGGGATTCCGCTAGGCAGAATGGGATGCCCCACAGGAAATCGCCCTGTGCCGACGTGGGAGAATCTAGCCTGGGGTCTTTAGTCTGGCCCCTGGAGCCAATGGATGCTTTAGGGTTTGGAAACCTTCCTACTTCTCTGTGCTTTGCCCCCCCCAACCAAGGCCGGCCGGAGCGCCAAACGCCAGCTGTTTCTCCTGCCAGGAGGGATTGAGAGGCACCTGAAGATCAAAACATGCTCGGTACGTCAGCACAGGGGCCCGGCGCTGCCCAGCTCCCCCGGCTCCCACTCGGGATGCTCCCTCAGAGCAGTGATGGAGACGGGTCTGCCTGACTCCCGGCAATAGCACCGAGTGCGGGAGCAGAGACAGCACCGAACAGGAGCTGAGCTCAGCCCCTCCCCAAATGCAGCATTAGGGAGAGCTCCCCAAAGTCGCTGATTTCCCTTGGGGGGCCTAGGGGGGAAGGAAACGCTTCCAGGCAGCATCCCTCCCTGACGCAGTGCACGGTGGAATCCTGCCAGGTGGCTGCAGCACTGGCCAGCTGTTCTTCCAGCTCAGCAGCACTTGGGGGTGGGGGGCAGGCTAGGACACTCAGGGCTATTGGTTTCATCTCCAGCCGGGCTCCAAAGGTCAGCGCCGGGGTTCGCAGGGTCTGTAGGCTCAGGGGGCAGGAGGGGACAATGGCAGGGGAGTGGGGCTGATGTTTAAGTTTTGCCCAGAGTGGGGTGTTTTCTCGGAGCCCCAATTAACCCGAGGCGGCTGGCACCTGATTGCCCCTCAAAGGCGTGTTCAGGTTCTTGTTTACCTGAGGCTGAGCCTGCTGCTCTCTCACCTGAGAGGGGGGAGAGATCCCATGGGGTTGCCGGCCCAGCCCTACTTTGGAGCTGCAAAGCACCCAAACTTCTGGCCGTATCTCTGAACCCATCGGAGATTCCCCTGCTGCTCCTCCTCATGGCCTGCACCTTGCGGGATCAGGCCATCCAGGGGTTTGCTAGGCAGCCAGGAAGGGGTGTCACTCCAGGAAGTCCCACCGGCAGTGCCGGGCAGAGACCACGGTGGTGGTGGGCACAATGCCAGCGCTAGAGCCTCCTTCCCAGCCTTTCAGGGGCTCAGCCGGGTGGTTTGCCCCTCCCTCTAGGTTGCGCTGGATGTGATCGAGGAGATGTGCTATGAAATGGGGCTGCATCGGCCTGAGGCCTTTGACGAATATGTCATCTTCGCCGTTACCAACAGAGGTGAGCCGTGGGGGCAGGCAGGGGTCGCTCTCCCCATTTTCTCCTCTGAAGTGGTCCCATCCCACCCCCCCCAATCCTGCCCAGCGGCCTGCCTCTGCCACTGGCCGTTCCCATATTGCATGCCCACCGACAGGCGGCCTGAGCTGACCAACGTCTGGCTTCCCCAGGCCTGCGGGTGCCATCACAGTAGGTGATGCCACTCAGGTCCCAAATGCATTGAGGGGGGACTTCCTGGCTGACCCCATTTCCGTGGCCCGCCTCCAGAGACGAGCCGTGGGCAGCAGCCTCCTGAGTCCTGGTGCTCCCCCTCCTTCGGGGAGTCATGGCACAGACCATTGTTCGGATCAAGACGCTGCCCCGTTAAGAGAAATGAAACCCCGTACGGAATGAAAACACAGGAGAGAGATTCACCGCCTCGCCCTGTTTAGTATTATTGCCTAGAAATCCCAGTTGAGCAATTGTACTAGGCGCTGGGCGAACATCTAGGCACAGACAGGCTCTGCCCAGCAGAGGTTACAGTGTAAATGGGCAGAGGGTGGGAGGGGAAACTGAGGCACAGAGCGACCAAGTGACTTGACCACTGTCCCGCAGCAGGTCAGCTGGGAATATCATCCTGGCCTCCTGATTCCCAGAGCAGCGCTCTGCCCACTAGCCCACATTGCCTCCCGTTACGCTTATGTGAAAAGAGAAGCGTAGGAGGCTTTCGCACCTGGCTAAACACCACCCAGCTCCTTGGCGTTGGCTGAACAGTGCTGTCTCTTGCCTAATGAACCGGCCATCCCTGCCGTTCACCACCGCAAAGTTAAGCTGCTGCCCCAGGAGACTACTCAGGAAGCACTGACTGGATTGCTTGTGAGGGATGTTTTTATCTTGACACTGTCCCGTTAAGCCCTTTGTGTGTCCAGAGGCTTAGCCCTGTGTGATGTGCATTCCCTGCGGGGGTGAAATACTGCACTGAGGCCCCACCGCCTCCCTGAAAAACGGGCAAACCGACCCGAACAGCCATCTCTGTACCAGGAGCTTGTGCAAGTGTCATTTATTCCTAACTGCCAGTGGCTGCCCGACAGTGGGAGCGCGAGGCAATCACCAGTCGATCCAGCGTCCAGTGCTCCTCCCTGGCACGAACAGGTTCTGGCTGAGCGAGGCCTGCCGTGAGCAGGGTCCTAGAACACCCCTTTCTGGGCAACCTCCGGCAGTGCCAGGCCTCTCCTGACGGCGTCGGTGCTGAGCTGCCGGGCTTGGAAGCACAGAGAGGATGGAAAAGCCTCAGGCCATGACGGGAGGAGGAAGGCACCTGAGAGCTGCGGGCTGCCAAGCTCTGGCCTTTCTCAGCGGAGCTCAGGGCGGGTGAATGGTGCCAGGGTCGCAGCCCTGGCGTTTCTACGCACAGGACGGGTGCAGCGCAGCCAGCAGCTTTGCAGGTTTCCACCTCACCTGCCCCAGTGGAGTATCCTGTCCCCTGGGGCTGGCTGTGGGCTTGTGCTGCCTTTGAGGGGTGCCCTGCTTGGTATTTTTGCAGCACCTTGGCAGCTTCCCCATTGCCAGCTTTCAGGGCAGTGCCCGGAAGGGGGGGCTGTGGATTATTGGCCTCAGCTTTCTTCTGAAATGCTGAAAAGGCAGGAAATGGTTCACGGTATCCCAGCGCTTCCTGGGGCCGAGCCCCCACTTTCCTGTCTGTGCCTCTCCACAGCTCCCGGCAGCCCTGTTGGCTTGGCTAGCCAGTGGCCTAGTTAAAGTGTGGGCGGGGAGGGCTGTAAAGTGACCGTTGGAAGGGCTGTGTGGACGGGCCCAGAAGCTCCAGGAAATAGCATCTCTGAGTCATATCCTGCTTTCTGGGAAAGCACTGCATCACCCTAGGAATGTCACGCGCCTTCTTAGCCTCACCAACCCGCTCACTCCCTCTCTGCCGCTTTTTATGGGTCTAGTTGGAAGCCTCTTCTTGGAAACGGAGCCCCGGGGCTCTGAATGTGGATTCTCCACAGGCGATCTGACCCCTGGCTGGGGGCTGTGCCATGAGAGGGGGTGGCACGGCCAGTGACACGGGCTTGTGGGATCTAATCCTTGCCCTTCCTCCAACTTATTCTGTGAACTGGGGCAAATCAATTCACCTCCTCCTGCCTCAGTTTCCCCATCTATAAAATGGGGCTTATGACACCCGCATTCATCCGTTTGCGTAAGGGCTCTCCTGAACTTTGGAATTATAATGTGCTCTCAGGAGTTACATGGATGATTCCAAGTGCCCCAAATCCTGAAGCTTTTAGAGCCGACCTGCAGAAGGAAACGCGGACTCAGCTTGTGTCCTTTTGGGACGATGTGTAAAGAAGGCCTGGACTTTTGTTTTAAAGGTGTTTCATGGGGTTTTTTCTGTCTGTTCTTTATCTTAGAACTATCAGGAGTGGTCAGTCTTGTCTTCCCTGTTTCTGACAGATGACTGAGGCTTGGTCTACACGTAAAACTTATCCCGGTGTAGCTATGTCACTCAGGGTAACGATGTCCCCTTGCCGCAGAGTAGACTCAGCTAACGTATGGGGAGCTGGTGTCTGCCAGCAGGGTTAGGACAATCTCCTTCTGTCGGTGCACGCTGTGCCTTCACGACGCCAGCGAAGATGTGCCGACGGCTACGCCGGCATAGGCTCTGTCATGTAGACACAGCCTCAGAGATGGGGACTGGCAGCTTTCTCGGCTTTCAATGGAACGGGCTGGGTGGTTGAATCCTAAACAAAGAGAGCTGTTCTCCCAAGGGTTAAGTAGGCGTGGACACAAACCAAAGCATCAAAGAGTAGCACTGAATCTGATTTCCTACCTTCAGTATCTCTGCTCTGCATACACCATTCAGTTCTCCAGCCACCTTTACCCTTTACATTGTAAAGGAGCAAAACCAGAGCAGCCCAGCTGGCTTTTCCTTGCCAGGCGACCTTTAAAATCAGAGCCACCCAGCTGACTCTTCCCCTGTGCTCTCCATAGGTCAGAATGTCCGCCCCTTGAGTCGACGGGAGTATATCCTTGACGTGGCCACGGAGATGGAGCAAGTGGACAGCAGCTACATGTTCTGGTACCGGCGTGTCATCTGGACCCAGCCACTGAAATTTGACAATGAGCTGTATGTCACCATGCACTATAACCAGGTAGCAGCTCAGAACCAGCCAGGGGCAGAGGATCAGTTGCCTTAGTTTAAGGAGGGCCTCTTCCTCCTCCCTTCCCTGGAGTATGGGCTCATGGGTGTCTGAGGAGCAATCTGTCATAAACCCAAGCTCCTGACCTCTCGTGGTTATTAAAGATCCCCTGGCTCCTTTCTGGCAGAGCAGTGGGGTTAGCCCTGGTGTCCCAGCCAGATTCCATTGCCAGGTAATTAGCTTCTGTTTGCCTAAACACCCCCCGTCTGGAAAAACGACGTTAAGAGAACATTAAACAGGTTGCAAAGCCAAGCACCCAAAAGTTAGGAAGTGCCAGCACTGGGGGGCGGCGAGTTATATCTCCACCTGGTGCCTTGGCACCAGCAACATTCAGAGCCCAGGGGCCCAGTTCCACCAATATTTGGGGCCGGGTGTCCCCCCCGGCCCCACCTGCTGCCTCCCCTGAGTGTCCCCTGGCTCCCTCTTGCTGCCCCCGGCCCCCCACGCGCCTCCTGGGGCCTGGAGCAGAACGTCCCTGCCCCTGCCTCTGCCCTGCAGCTCCATGCTGCCTCCCTGCAGCAACTGCTGCTGCCGGGTCCTAGGGTCCCCATCTCCACTGCTAGGGCAGACTGACTGAGCCGGCCCTTCCACCTCAGACCCTTCTCTTTTTCGACGGGACCCTCCACCAGCACAGGGGGCCCCATCGCCTGCTGTCACCGCTCCTGCCCCATGCTGGGCAAGGGGCAGCTCCATCCCTCGCCCCCAGTGAGGCTACTGTCAGGGGCAACAGCAGGGGAGGAGGCGCACGCAGCTCCCCCCGGCACCCACCACGCGGGAGGCGAGGGAGATTCCTGGACCTGAGAGGGGACCTAGGAGCACATGCAGTGACAGTGGGGGGGGGTGCTGCTGGGAGGGGGCAGGAAAGGGGGGCTCCTCCCCCAGAGCTCGCTGCTGCCAGCAGGGAAAGGGTTGGGGGGAGTCCTCCTCTCTGGCCCCTGTCCCGGAGCAGCCTGCCTGCACCCCAAACTCATCCCCAGCCCTGCCCTACCCCAGAGCCCACACCCCCAGCCAGAGCTTTCACCCCCCCACAGCACCCTCAACCCTCTGCCCCAGCCCTGAGTCCCTCCAACACCCCAAACACCTTATCCCCAGCCTCAGACAGAGCCCTCATCCCCCCGCATCCTAACCCTCTGCCTGAGTTCTGACCCTCCTCCAACACCACAAACCCCTCATCTCCAGCCCCAGCCAGAGCTCTCACCCCCCTGCACCCCAACCCTGAGCCCCCTCCAACACCACAAACCCCTCATCTCCAGCCCCAGACAGTCCTCATCCCCCTGCACAACCCTCTGCCCCAGCCCTGAGCCTCTCTAATCCCCAAACCCCCCAGCCCCAGACAGAGCCCTCATCCGCCACACTCCTACTCTCACCCTGAGCCCCTCCCAAACCCCTCATTCCCAGCCACAGACAGAGCCCTCACCCCTACACTCCTACTGTTGCCCTGAGCCCCTCCCATCCCCCAAACCCCTCATCCGCAGCCGCACCCCCTCCCATCCCCAAGCTCCCTCCTAGAACCTGCACCCCCTCCCTCCGCACCCCCTCCTATCCCCAAAATCCCTCCTAGAGCCTGCATCCCAATCCCCTGCCCCAGCCTAGGGCCTGCACCCCAGACCTCCTCCCGCACCCAAACTCCCTCCCAGAGCCTTGGGCAGGTGGGGGGCAGAGTTTGGGCAGAGGTGGGTTCTGGGCACCACCAAAATTTTTACAAACCTGCCCCCCCTGAACTGATGCTGCCTGTGTGCAGTCATCCTTCAGCCAGCTTGTGCCCATGCATTATGGTGCAGTCTTTCCTAACCTGATCAGGTGCTGTTTTTCCCACAGGACACGGCCTCATTCAGTGCACAGGGTGGAAGGTTTTCACTTACCGAGCAGCTATTCAATGTTTCGGTTTCTCTGTGTTGTTCAGAGTCTGGCCCCAGGCCTTAGCTGCTGCATGCTGTCCAAATCCAGCTCTGAAGACAGAATTATTCATTTCCTCATGGGCTTTTTTCTCTGGCACTCATTACTGTAGTATCTGATCGCTTCGCAGACATTAGTGGATTTATCTTTATCCCTGTGACCCCATTTTACAGCTGGGGATTTGAGGCACAGAGAGATTAAGGTAAACAATTTCCACTAACTTTGGGTGCCCAATTTGAGACACTTCAGCCCTGGTTTTCCAGAGTCCTTAGCTCTGTGTGTTCAAAGCGCAGCTCCCAGTGACTTCAGTCGCAGTTGTTATCACACAGTACATCTGCAAATCAGACCCCAGGGTATCAAGTTGGGCACCCAGAAAATGAAGCACACACAACCAGTAACCACCTCTGAAAAGTTTGGTTTAAGGGACTTGCCCAGAATCACAAAGAAATTCTGTGGCAGAGGCAGGGATAGAATCCAGTTCTCCAAGGCAGCTTTCAACCGCCTTAACCGGGAGATTCTCCTTTCTCTTCCTGCAGTCCCCTGCCTGGGTCTTTTATAGACCTTTTCACTTCGGCAGCAAATAAATCAGGATTCAACGGACAACAGCCTCCTTCATTACACAGCCCTGACTCATCCCCGGGGCAGATCCGTCCTGGGCATTGAATGAGGCAGGAGGCCTGTGGAAAAGATAAGATGTGTTCATGTAATTAACGACTGTATCATACTGTGCATGCACAAGGGGGCCACATTAAGGCTGCAAAGGCCCCCTTAATTCTGACATTTTCTTTTTTTTAAGAGATTATTATTAGTATTTTATTATTTAAACTGTACTTTGTATTTATTTGTTGATTCTGGCATTTTCTAACTTGTATGCTTGACTTGGCAACCTTAACAATGTTCTTTGAATGTCATTTGGTGGGTGCAATTTACTCGGTTTATTGACCAGCAAACTGAAAAAAACCCAGCAATTCCCTCATGTGGCATGATATTGCCACCTGTGTGGGTCATCAACAGGGTCGGAACCTTTAGATCCATCGCCCAGACCTCTGCCACGTGCGTTAATGGAGTTACTGGAGTACGGCAGTAGTAGGTTGTCATCTTCTGTGTGGACCAGCACTAGAGGGTGTTGGGACTCTTAGCCAGAGGGTTTCATGGATATTTGCTGACAGTGGAGGAATAGTGAGACTCAGGAATCTCGGGTTCCATTCCAGCCTCCGGAGGGGAGTGTGCTCCAGTGGGCGCAGCCTCTCTGCCTATTTCCCTCAAGCTAGACTCCTGCTGCCCCTTTCCCTCCAACATACCCACGTTCTTCTCCTTGCCCCACTCTGTCCCACTCCCAGTCTCCTTGCCCAGCCAGTCCAGAATTCCCCTAGTTCCTCCGCAGATCTCAGGTGCCCCCCCTCTGCCCTGGGCATCCCTCCCTGACTCTTCAAAGTTTCCCCCCCAAAGAGTGGGTACGCGCATGTACAGTCTAAGACCGCGATTCAGGAAAGCATCTCTGTTCAGGAAGGTACCCAAGCCCGCACGCTTCTCTTTGAAGTCCGTGTGAAGTTAAGTGCTTTGCCTTAATCTGCATCGTGTGTTGTTATGCCATGGCCCTCTCCACGGTATCTGACTGCCTGTATGTGTGTGAACGCAGTCGCACACAGTACATGCATTTCCTGAGCACATCCCATGCAGCCCAGCAGCTCCCAGATCAGCTCCCGTTTACTCCTGATGAGAAAGTGTGACAAAGCCACGCCTGGCATGCCCTGTATCTTCTTTCAGGTCCTGCCCGATTATCTCAAGGGGCTCTTCAACATCCTACCTCCCCTGCAACCCAGCGAACAGCAGTGCCAGCAGATCTCCAAACTGGCAGCCCTCCAGCACCGGGCCAAGGACAGAATGTACCTGCCCACCGTGTAGGTACCCTGGGCCTGGTGGCGCTTGGGTGCTACCCTGCTTACCACGGCTTATGTCCCATCATGTTGTGTTTGCACCTTAGTGAGAAGGGAGCCCCGGCTAGTTGCCGGAGCAGAGCAGCCAGAACTCCTGGGTTCTGTTCCACACTTCGCTGCTTACTTGTTGTGACCTTGGGCGAGTCACTTAGCTTCTCTCTGCCTAATGTTCCTTAGCTCTAAAACATATGTGTGATACGTACTGCCACCTCCCAGAGCTGCTTGGCTCCATTGTTTGCAGAGTGCCCCCAGGTCCTCGGAGGGCACGTGGCGAGCTAGACAGACGAGGTGTCATCGGCATCAGTATGACCTGACAGGCCACCCCAGAGTCTGTCTTCACTGCAGTCGGCCCAGTGTCTTCCCTGGGTTTTGCTCCTAACCCGTCTCCCATCCACACACACACAACCTCTCGGCCGAGTCTAGTGGCGCTTTCAACCCAGGCTAGCCAGCCTCACTGGGGCTCTGGGTTAGAGTCCAGGTTCCGCTTCCACGCAGGCTGCTAACGCACCCACTCTGCAGCGAGGACACTGGCTGAAGAGTGCGGATAGTCCTCCAGGACTTTCCCACAATTCCCCCGCATGCCCAGAAGGACAGACAAGTTCTCCCACAATTCACTGGGAAAGAATTATAGAGTGGCTCGGCTGACTGCAGCGCTAAGAACAATGGGGCATCCCCCCAGCAGAACCGGGGAGACACATGGGGGGAGCACAGCACCAGCATGGAACACAGGAACTCGGGTTGGACTTTGCAGTGGGGCTGCTCGTACCAGGGCAGCGCTAAATCCGGGTGCTCCGACCCTGGTGCCGATCACCTGGGTTGACTGCGCAAGACATCCCCCCCAGAGCTATGCTTGCACAGAGAAATGATTGCATGGAATGAGAAGATTCAAAATTCCGGTCTCGAATCAGAGCACTAACTATTCCTGTCGTGGTGAATTAAATCCCGCATGTACTTCTGGGGCTGGGGAATTCCTGGAATTTGAGTCACTACAAAAATTCTCCTGGAAGGTGAAGCTTTTAGAGAAGTGCAGAGAGCCTGCAGAATTGCTGCCCCGGGGCGGGGGCGGCCCAGGGGGAGAGGAGAGGTGGGAGACTTTCTACCACTTACATAAGACTTAAATGAGAAGAAAGATGAACTCACGTAGGAATTTCAGTTCCAGACCAAATGCCAAGGACTGAGGGGCTCTTGGCCTACGGCTGCTTTATGAACTTGGGTTTCCTGGTAGCAGTGACCTTGTAGCTCAACTCCAAAGTCCTCCAGTCTTATTAAACTGAGCGAATAGCTGACTGTGGCTCTTCCCCTGAAATCTGATCCATGTGGGTATGCCCTTGCAGAGCCGCACTGGCATCAGTGAGATTCCCAACAGGTGCCAGGTTCAGCTTGCAGGATCTGGGCCTAGGTTTGCAATGTATTCAGACTGAACTCTGTCTATATGTGCTTGTCTCTGGGTGTCAAGCGTAGGACCCTGCATGGAGGTGCAGAGATGTTCTGCTGACTCTCCCTGGTAACCAGACCAGGTGAGTCTCATTAGTGCCACTAAGGAGCAGAGCTGCTGTGCTGCAAGAGACAGCTAGTGGGAAGGGCAGGAGTCCTGCAGGGGAAAACACTCATCAGCCTGCTCAAGAAGGAGGCCCCAGTCCCTGAAAAACTTTTGCATGTGATTTAACTCGGTTCAAAAAACTAAGCGTGTGCCTGAGTCTTTGCAGAATGGGGACCTATGCTTGTAAGCACACTGCTGCTGTACGGTTTTGTTGTTAATGGAGGCAGAGCCCCAGGACGGGCTGGGGTGGGACCGAGGCTGGACAATACCCATGGTGAGTGTGCTGCATTAGGAGTGGGGTGGGGAGTCCCCCCACCGTCACTGCATGAGAACGATTCAGGGATGAGGGACTCCCTACCTCAGCAAGACACCATGGGACCTGCAGGTCAGGACCCCCCCGCAGGGCTGAGCCCTGGCTGCTATTACCCAAGGAGGGGTCTTTGTTCTTCTCCACATCCTGGTTCTCTGCTGCCCTGGAGCTGGGTGATGGGTGGGCAGCGCTCTCCCGCAGCGGGTTTTCTGTCCTCCAACATGGACAGGCCCTGAGTGTTTACCTGGGGCTGGCTGTGACCTTTCCCTGGGTCTCTCCCCACGCAGCCGGGAGGTGCAGGGTTACGTCCCGCCCCAGTTCTGCCGAGCGCTGAAGGCTCAGTCGTGGCTCAACGTGGTGCTGCAGCATCTGCCGCAGGTCCAGGCCCTGAGCGCCCACCAGGCCAGAGCTCAGTTCCTAGGTAAGCCCCCCCTTCCCCTCTCCCCGCCCCAGCAGGGACCGGAGGCAGGCAACGTGGCCAGGTGCGCGAGTGAGCCGCTGCTGGGAGTCGGCCGAGCCTGGGATTTGGGGAGCTTTTTTGATCAGAGGGGAACATGGTCAAAGGTGGGGCAGGAGCAGAAGCAGCTGAGTCTTGCCCTGGTGTTGAGGGACACAGCAGCAGAGATGAGCCCCTCTCCCCCCCAGCCCATGCCATGGCTGGGCCTTTGCAGCAACAGCTGTGGGGGGGTCTCAGCAGTGCCCCCCAGGCACTTGCCATGCCCTCGGTGCTGCCTCGGGCATCCCGGCTTCTGTTCATTCATCAGCGATGCACAATGTTGCTGCCCAAACCGATTCCCGAGCCTGTGGCAGAGGGTGGGGAGGAAGCAGGAGAGGCTCTTGCTCTGGAAGAGACCGTGTGTGGGTGCTGGGTACCTGGCATGTTGAGGGAGGGGCGAGTTAGAGCCGCCCTGCCGTGCCCCCCCACATGCCCTCAGCCAGATCTCCAGCGGGCTCAAAGAGCTCAGTTAACCCCGCTCCCACCCTCCACGGTTAGGCCCTGGCCTCTACCGGCGTAAACCTTCACGAAGAGCCTCGTGTGGGACAACCTGCCCCTCCACTGGGGGCACGTGGGAGCCCAGAGAGGGCGGGGCTGTTTAGAAGGGGGTGTGGCCAAATGCAATGATCGATCGTCTCGCTCCCTTAGTAGCTTCCACCAGCAGGGCTGCAGGACCGAATGCTGCCTCTCCCTGCAGGGCATGGGCAGTACTACTGCCTGCCCCGAGGGGGAGGATCTCCCTGCCCTGGAGGGGACCCCCTTGTGGCTATGTCCCAGCTGATCATCATGGTTCAGCCCCAGGGTCGGGTTCCTTGGCTGCGCCCTGGGCAGGTCCCTGGCTTTGCTGACTGCATGTCATCTCCGCAGGACTGCTGAGCGCCTTCCCCATGTTTGGCTCTTCCTTCTTCTACATCCAGAGCTGCAGTAACAACGCCATCGTCTCGCCGTGCATCCTGGCCGTCAACCAGAACGGCCTCAACTTCCTCAACAAGGACACCCACGTAGGTGTAGGGGGCAGCAGGCCAGCCCCTCGCCCGGCCCCTCCAGGAGGTGCTTGCTTCTCACGTGCAGGGTGCAGTTGCAGCATGTCGGCAAGGCTCGTTGGCTGCCGGGGGACGTCTGCCCTGGGAGGGCTGGATCCGAGAGTGGAACTCATTGGGACTGGCATCATGTGGGTTGGGAGTGGGGCCGTGTGCTCTAATACATCACAGAGAGTCCCCCCTACACCCGGCTCAGCTGTGTGCCTCCTAATACGGCAGTGGCCCGTGTGTTAGACACCAGAGCCTTCACGCTGTCGTGCACTGGATTCAGGTGATAGCTTAATTCTGCTGTTGCTGTGACCCTGGCTGTTGGACCGAGCTAGAGGGCTAACCCCAGCGGCCCGGAGGGGGAGGATGGCCTGTACATAGAGTGCCCACCCCATTCTCGATCTGCCTCTCAGTGCAAAGCTGTTGCCTCATGATCCACGGCAATTTTTCCAAAGACTAATGGGGATGAATTATTCAGGGGGCCCAAGGCAGGGATACCTATTATTGCCTCATTGTTTCCTTGTGCTCCCCCGTCCCTCTGTCTGTATCCATCTGTTGTTTCCTGTCATGTGCTTAGATTGGAAGCTCTTTGGGGCAGGGCTGTCCTGTTTTTCTGGGTTTGTACAGTGCCTAGCACAGAGGAGTCCTGGTCCGTGACTCAGGCTCCTAGGCATGATTGCAGTGCGAATGATAAAGGACAGTAGCCGAGAAGGAAGGTATGAACTGGTAGGAAGGAGCTCATAGTCTGTACACTGTGGCTGGGTCCCTGGTGGGGCGTGCGTATGAAGGAGCTGTGCATCCATCCCCAGGAGCTGATTGTGAAGTTCTCGCTGAAGGAGATTCAGTCCACGAGGACCCAGCGGCCCACAGCCGGCTCCAGCTACCCCTATGTGGAGATCATGCTGGGAGACTTGATGTCACAGAGGATGACGCAGCTGCAGCTGGAGCAGGTATGGAGTGCAGCTAAGCAGCTTGCCTTTCCCCCTCTTTAAACTTCTCGGCCCTGTCTTGATTCAAGGCCTGGGGCAGGGTAATGCCAGGATGTGCTTAGGGGATGGAAGGGCCACAGCAAAGGCTCCTATGGTGTTATCGCCTGAATTCACATGGCCATTTAGGCTCTTAAACTTAGACTGTAATGTGACTCCTGATGGTTGGCTCCCCGGGGATTTGTGGGTTGAATGGCATTGACCTTCATTGCCGAGGCCCCGCTCCCCAGCCATGGGGCTGGCGGGATGCAGCCCAGCCTTCCTGGTTCCCCTCTGCAGGGGGCAGGATGCCAGGAGCCCATCCCACCCCACCCCACCGCACAAAGCACCGGTGAAGGGTTTCTGTGGGCTCTGGGAGCAGGGAGTGAAGGGTGTGGAGCTAGCTTGCCCCTCCCCACAAATGAGATGAACTCCAGAGAGCAACATGAGCCCTCTATATTGCACTTGTGAGACACCGAGCCCCTGTATTACAACACAGTAAAGACAGCAGTGTCCCTGGCCAGCGGGTTGGGGGAGCACAGAACCCCACCAGGGTGAGGTTCAGGGAGGGGAACGCAGCCAGGGCACCTGTGTCTCATCATGACAATCCCCCCGCAGAGGACACGCCACTTGACTCATCCTCTCTCCAGCCCCTTAATTCTCTCCTTGTCGCTTCTCTTCCTACTGTCTCCTTCTGGCTTTCCTCCTGGCTTCTTCACCCGGATCTCTGAAGCTAAACCTTCAGATGGTAGGTAGCTGCTGCTCCCAGAAAGAATGCTCGTGGGTTGTATTTGGAGAGGGTACAGAAATACAGCAAAGCCAGCACCATCCCCAGCCTGTCTCTTCCGGGATCAATGCACAAAAGTGCTCCTGTACCACATACTCCACATCAGCAAACTAAGAGACACATCTTCAGATAAGTTAGGTGTGCAGCAGCACACACAGTGAGTGTGCGTTTGTGCTAAGCAGGCTGGTCTCTGCGCTTGCGGTTACCCACTTTTCACATGCAGTCCTGGTAACTCCGCACACAAACTAAGCACATCATTGCAAGCAGATTTCCTCATGACAGGGTTTGCTTTCTCCCTGCCTAACTTGGTTGAACAACCAGCGCATGGAGGCAGCTGCTTAAATACAAGGGAATCCTAGTGAGTAAAATCTCGGGGTGCATCTCTGCTGCAGTCAGAGGTGTGATTGCAGCCTGCGTGTTAACTTCCATCAAAGCCAGCTTGAGTAACAACAGCAGTGAAGCTGTGACGACACATACTTCAGCATGAGCTACTTGCTCAAGTCTCGACCCATAGCCTTGGGCAGGGTTGTGCCCCCCAGGCTGCAGTCCAGGCTGCCACGGCTTCGCTGCTGGTGTTACTCAAGCTGACTAGATTAAAGCTATCCCAGGTACGTCTACCCGCGCTGCAGTCAGACCCCCTGACTGCAATCTAGATGCATCCTCAGAGTCTAAAACCCAATGAAATCCTGGCTCTGCCAGATGTCCAGCTGGCCCAGCAGTGTCCAAAGTCTAATGCACCATTGCATTTGCCTTTTAACTAAAACATGAGGACCGAGTAGATCATACAGGTTTTTATTGCTGGTGGACTCCTGCAAGGAGCAATTTCTATGCGTCTCTCCAGGATGCGGAGGGGAAGGTGGCCTCATGGTTTAAAGCCCAGGACTGGGAGGCAAGAGAACAGGGGCTCGTTACTACACCTTTCCGACGGTCTCGCTACCAGTGTTCGGAGCTGCTCGATGTCCCTTCTTGGACCAGGGGCGTGTTACACTAACCGCGTGTAGTTCTGTAGCTCAGGGGCACTGCCAGATATGGGGGACGTGGGAGAAGCAGGGGATGCTCTGGTACTGCCTATTGTGCTGGGTAAAAGGCACCTCCAGTGCTGCCCCTTGTACAAGGCCAGTGGTGTGAGGGCGTTTCACAGAGAGTCCAGGCAAGTGCCAATGGGAGGCCACAGTGGAACAGTAACTAGAGGGAAGGACCAGCAGGAGCCCTGTGAGTACAATGGGCTCACACAGCGTTGTGCCCCTGCAGGCAGGCACCATTTTCATTCCAATGCAACAAAACAGTGGGTCCAAGGCAGCAGAGCCCCCTTGCTTTCCTTGGCCCAGGGCGCAGGTACTCAGGAGGTGTCTGCCAAGGGATTGGCATTCGGCTTTCACCATTGCAAGACCGGACGCTACACAACAAAATGGCCCCAGCAAATTTCAGCACAGGGGTGCAATTCATTCTAAGTCAGGCTAGGGGGCGCTAATGCTGGGGGGGGCGGTAACCAGAGTTAAAATGCTGTAACGCTCCCTTGTGCTTCCTTCCCTCTTTAGGGCCTAGAGTTGTGTCGCGTGATCGCCACCCACATGGAAAGTCTGTTGAACGCTCGCGAGAAGAGACTCACCCTCCCTCCCAGTGAGATTACACTGCTCTGATCAGGCATGTTACACACACACACGCTCGCACGCTCCCTCCCTAACCGCCACTTGCGTGAAAGCCAGCATGGAGATAAACAAATATCTCCGTGTCCTGGGAGACGCAACGTAGACTAAATATAGAGACTAAATATAGAGACTGATGGGACAGATTCCCAGTTGGTTTGAGTCAGCGTAGCCCCAGTGGCCTGGGGCTGATGTACATCTGCTGAGGTGCTGGGACGGGGGACTTACAGACCGTATGTGAGGTCTGAGGAGTTAAGAGCGTGGGGAATGCAGTCTGGCCAGTTAACAGGTGAACACAGATGCCTTAATTTCTATTTAATAACTGCCCTCCTGGACATAGGTCATGACCTTTTTCCAGAATCAGGTGTATTTAATCCATTCCTTTAGTAGCAACATTGATTGTCCTTGAGCAGGACACGTCCAGTTTTGCACATCTGCCTGTACCGAGGACCTGGCAATCTAACAGTTTGCATGCTGCATACACCGGATGGTTTTTATTTGTGTTCGCTCCCGGTGTTTTGGTCTTGTTTGTCCTGTGATTTAATTCTCATTTTTTATAAGTGTCACTGGCGCCTGCATTTGTACACTGGTCCGTAGCGCTAGCCCTGTAAATGGCTTCCCGTTTTTGTAACGTTTTGCACTCAGCATTGCTTTGAGATTTTATTTTTGTTTCTCGTTTGTGCAAAATTAAAAATTCCTTTTAAGTCCAAAGCCGCCTGTTGTTTGGGTGTGCTGGTTTGTGCTGGGGAACAAAGTTGTTTTTCTTTCCTCAACCCAGGATTTGTGTAGAGCAGGGGTTCTCAAACTTCATTGCACCGCGACCCCCTTCTGACAACAAGAATTACTACAGGATCCCAGGAGGGGGGACCAAAGCCTGACTAGACTAATATTTACAATTGTGTTCATAAATTGGCTGTCAGTTAACGCAAGCTAAAAGAGGCCCCAAACTCTAGTCTAGATGGATCCCCCCAGAACAGTAGAGCACTCGATGGTCATATTTGCTCTCAGGTTCTGGTGAAATTCGAGGATCACTACAGCTTCTCTGCTGCTAGCAACAGAGGCGGTGCTAGCCTAGACCAGCCACAAGTGCTTTACCACCATGGCAACTCGGCCTTGAGAAACTGCAGTTTGTACACTGCAATTCGCTGAATCCAGTCAGGCCTTTCATCTGAATCACCGCAGTTCTTTACACGACAGCTGGTCATGTGGTTAAGGCACAGGACCAGGAATCCGGGTTATGTTCGTGGCCCTGCCAGACTTTCCACATGACTTCGGACATGTCCCTTAAGGATTACTCTGGCATTTAAAGCCGCATCCAAGCTGCAGCGATATAGCGAGCGTTTGCTAGCTGAGCCCCTGCCCTAATGTAAACACAGAACTGAGACGAGCCTGGGTTGGTGACGCGGCAGATTGTCTGGAAGGGACTCAAAAGTCAAAGGCTGCCACAAACTCGTCGGAACCAGCATTAGCCAAAACGTTAACAGCAACTCCCAAGAACCGAATCAGATAGCTTTGCATAGCATGACCTCTATGTTCACCACAGACAGGCCTAACTGTATTACTTGAGCAGCCAGGTGCCCAGGGAGTTCTGAAATTCCCACTAGGAGCCTAGCTGCCTCTTTAGGCACCTAAAACCTGGCCCCAGGAGCTCATAAACCAGTGAGTTCCTTTGAGGCCAATGCAGAGGCTCTGGTTTCACATGATACTGTTGGCATGGAGTAGGCTGGGGCTGGGGTAGGTTTGCTTTGCAACGTTATACAGCTAGAGGCTGGGTGTGACAAGTGGAGTGGAATTCCCCCAATGATGAGAGAGATGGAGAGTCTGAGCTGGGCCACTGGCTCAGACCCAGCTTGAAAGCAAACCCGTATAGCACAGTCTTTGCAGCCTGGAAGGCAGGATGGTCTAGTGGGACAGGTGCTGGCATGTGACTCAGAAAAGCAAGGTTCAGTTCCTCATTTACCAAACTTCCTGTGTGATCTTGGGCAAGTCACTTAATCGGTCAGAGGGATAAAGCACTTCTGTGCCTGACAACGGTGTTGTGAGGAATTAGTGACCGGGAGGTGCTCAGGCACTACCGAGACAAGGGCCATCCAAGTACTCAGGTAGAGAGATTAGCTCTCTTCTCCATCGCCCTTAAAGGACCTGCCCAGCCTTGCTCCCACTGAAGTCCAGGACAAAGCTCTTATCGGTCTCAGCTGCAGGATTGGTCCCAAAATGTACTTTATGTCTGGTATAAAATTTGGGACCAAAATTGGAAGGGATGGGGAGTTACCAGAACTCAGGACACCAGCAAGTCACTGCGGGCGCCTCTCCCAGGCTGGCTGGACTGTGCGGCCTCTTTAAAGGAGAGAAGGATTGTTGTGGTGCTGGTTCGCTCCGCCGCTGATAATCTCAACAAGTGGGTCTGTTTGTTGGCAGCTGCAGAGCGGAGCTAGTTTTGGACTCAACTTCTGTTGTGACTCATTGGCAGGAGAGGGGTTGGATCCCCCACAGTCTCTTCTCCTGCCTTTAATCAGTTAACCACTGAAACGAAATATTTTTAATCGTTTAAATGTTTAACTTTTTAAACGGTATTTACATCCCTATTGCTTATGGTGAATCCTCGGCTCACAAAACACGCCTCAGGACAAGTTCTGAAGCCATCTGCCTGGTACGGGTCTTCCAATCTCTTCCTAGGTCTCTGAAGTTACTTCTTAGCCTGCTCAACCCCTTACCATTGTCACTTTCATTCCCATTAGATATGGACAGTGAGGAGAGGATCTTAACCAGCCTTCTTCAGGGTAGACGGAGAAGGCAAATACTAGAGAAGGGTCCAATAAAGTCACCCAAGACAGGTTCTATCAGATGCTCAGCTGATGCTATATTTCACCCTTGCAGGCTGAGGAGAAGCAATCCATAACTTCTTGTAGCCCCTAAGAGCCAGTGCGCACTCCATCCTATTTCTCCTGTCCGTGTTCTAGTCCATCATCTCTGCAGTAGTCACCGAGGCTGATTAATTGCTGCCTTCTCCTAAACATCACCACTTGTCCTTCTCATTAATCATTTACTATTCAAGTAACAGCCTTGCGTATTGTGTGCGCAATCCGAAAGGAGAGGAACCAAACTGCGACATCATCCACCTCTAGTGTAACTTTACATGGTTGTGTGGGAAGCTAGGACAAGAATGTGATCAAGTTCCTAGCCCTAATTCAGCCATTGCTCGTTTCCTATATATGATCTGTGCCTCAGGATGGGTTCATTTAGAAGCAGGAAATGAATCTATTGACAGGTAATATTGTTCTGTCTTGTTTCCCAACTCGATTCCAGAGCATGGCTGTGCACAATGAACAATAGCGTATCATCTGGGTCTGGAGTCTATAGCTTTTATGGGAAGCCCAACCTTCTATAAAATGTTCTATTTTAAGTGGGTTTTATCTCAGTAGGTTTCAAAGTAGCTTTTCTCCATCAAGAAAAAGATCCCAAAGGTTTGACTTACAGCACAGTTCCAAAATAGAACTGTTACTATAAGTTGTCTTGTTTGCGAGAATTAGGGCATCAATTGTAAGTTTATCCAGTTTATTTTTAATTTTGTTGACGGCAGCATGTTGAGTGACTGGTTGTTGGGAACCCCTACCCCCTCTCCCCCGAGACATCGGCTGTTTTTATAGAATTTTGGTGTCCAACTTTCTGGTCCCATCATGTCATCTCAAGGCCATCTCAAAGCAGGTCTTGTGTGTGCCAAACTTTGGTTTTTTGGAGAGGAGTCACAGACACCAGTCCCTGCAGTATGCAAAACTCCAAATATTTTTGTAATTGCCGGCCTTAAGTGGGCCTCTCCCCAAAACTGACGCTCACTATGGATGACCTAATTCAAACCTGATAGGCCCAAGTTGGCCTTGCACCTGATTTGTGCAAAGGTCTTGGAGGGAAGCGTTGCAAGGCAGAGTAAGCGAAGTTCGCAAACCATAAGACTAAGATGCCTCGCCTTTCAGGTCAACAAGCCATCAGAGGGAAGAGTGACCTTCCAAAATCTCCAAGAGCAGCCACCTTTGGGAGAGGAAGTAAGGACATCAAGGTCTAGCCCACTCCTTTGACCAGTCTGCCCCTGCATCTGAAGGCCCGTTGGCAACAAGTGATGTGCCAGCAGCATATCACTGTCTGGTTCCTTCACTGCAGCCCCAGCTCCTACCCTAAGCGTTCAAGAGACTGCAAGAGCTCCTAAAGCCCTGATACCTCAAGTATCTAGTTTCTCTTTTTTCTGGTTTTGTCTGTTGTTTTTTTTATTAGCTGGCTGACGTCCTAGCTATTCAGCCTTTTTATTGTTAGGGTGTGCAAGTGAACGCATGGCTGTGTGTGTGTGTGAACCCCCAGAAAGTCCACATGGGACAGGTATCTGAAAGAAAAGTTCTCCAGGGTTAAACAGCTCTAAATATTGTCTCATAAAATTACTCACTGAAGTGTGATTGTCACCTGTAATTTCTAGAAAATAATGGTTGTCAAACTGTGGTATCTCAAGAGTGTTTTGTTAAAGTCTGTGTTATAGGAGGGCAGAAGGAAAGGGTTAGTCACCAGGCAAGAATGGAAATATAAGAGGAAGTTTTATAATTGGCCCTAAGGCCTGTGGCTCAGCCTTTAGATAATAATTTGGTTTCCATATTTAAGATATTTAGCCAGCTCCAGGTTACAGACTGGATGACTTTTGTAAAATCCTTTAATTGTATAACCAAACAGGCAGCTTCCTTCTTAGAATCCTCTTTACAATTTGAAGGTTGATTTTTTTTTAATTAATTTGACCATTTAACTAATTTGATGATTTAACTTCAATCCAACATTGAGACTAATCTGTCAACTTGACCTTGATTTGATATCGATTTGATAGCTGTGTTGCTTGAGTCCATAGTTTAATATTATTAACACAAGCTTAGCTTTGCAGCTATGTTTTCTTGATTTAATTTTTAAGTTTTGGAGTAAACATTTGTAAAAAGATGAGTCACATTTCTTTCAATGAGCAGCGTGGATCCAGAACTTCTAAAGACCTGGGAAGAGACCAGCTGGTCAACCGGAAAGTCACAGAGACCTAAAAGCCTGACCTCCTCCCCCTAATTGGTTCTCTCAGTCTGGGGCAAGTCTTCAGATCAGCTCTGGAGCCTGACAGGCGCAGCCAGGGCAGGAGAGTTCTTCCCTGCCAAGAGGTAGGTGTGTGAATCATTTTCAGTCTAATCTTTATGGAGATGACAGCTCCGAGATGCTAATCCCTCCCCTCAACCCTTGCAGGGCAGCAGCAGCAGCAGCTTGTTCTTCCTCAGCAGAGACATGTTCCTTTCTTTTCCACTTATTTTCCTCCATTCTGCCCCATCTGACTCATGTGGTGGGTGGTTCAACTTGTTTTCCACTGGCCACTCCCACATCAACCCAAAGACCGAAGCAGTGCGTTCTCGATGCTGCAACCAAACCGAGCGTAATTCCTGTCCCAAGCCAGGATTGGCTGGCAACGCACGGACTTTGGCTAGCCACCGTCATGGTATGCAGGGCTATTTTCATCAACTTGGGTTGTTTTCTGGAGCCACATGACATGAGGGTCTCTGCCTGTATAGCAAGACTCAACACTCTTGCCTGGCCTGCCAAATCACTGCTGTTACACGGCACATACAAAGGATAAGCTTCATCGTTCTGGGCTATTACCAAAAGGGAAACGAGGAACCAACCGGGAAGAGCGGGTATCTGGCAGTCTGCAGCGCTCCTCTGGCAGGAGATGGAGTATTTGTTCCCTCGCCCTTGTCTGCAGCAGAGTTGATTTCTGCTGTTAGTACTGACCAGCGCTCGTTTGCATGGGCTGCCTC